AAGCAGTTATCCAACATAATATAAATATCAGAAACAATTTTTTGATTAGTTGTAAGAAAATATAATATATTTAGTTCATTGTAATAAATAAGAGTTTTTATCAAATATTTGTTTTTATTTTGCAAAAAACCTATACATGATGGGATGTTATGGAAGTTATTTTTAGAATCTCTGATCAGGATTTTTTTCATTTTTGGGTTCTTGGAGTGTCAAAATATCAAGAAATGCAATACAATTGGAGGAGTCAAAATTTGACAAAGTGCCATGTTTTCCATTTGTTACAACTATAACATCCAGGAAAATAAAATATCTAAGAAGATAAAGATGTTTTAACATGTTTATTTATTTATGCCAGTACTACCCAAACTGTGGTCAAAAAACAGTTTATTACTGGACCACAAGTTTTCACTTAATTTTATTAGCATAATATTTAAAAACATTTTTCTTTATCATTTAAACGCTTGGTTTCAAGGGTAGACTGGCAATCAAAATTATCCCACAAACCCATATTTTCAAAATGATAACAGCAAAATTTGGTTCTAGTTGTATTTTTCTTATTCAATATAAAACTTAAGTAAAAAATGCCTTTGAATTCTGCTATTTTTGTTTAATTTCACAAAAATACAGGTCTTTTTTTTTCATTCCAATCCTCACAAGAGATTGGAATGAAAAAAAAGACCAGTTTGGAAATTGAAAAGAATAGAATAAGAAAGAAAACTGTTCCTTGAACACTGAGTTTGAGAAGCACTGATCTATGTGGTATTTTTGAACATTGAGTTAAACAATTTCATCTGCCTTTGAAATTCAGAATCTTTTTGAAAATTTACATTGTTTATTTGCTAAGTATTAATATTTTTTACTATGAAAATAGATGATAAACAATTACTTTCCCTGATATTTCAAAACATGAAATAAATCTTTGTTGATTCTTTTTTATTAATTTAATAATTTATGAAATTATTTCAGGAACATTTTCTAGTCCCAGATCATACAATCAAAGATATTAATGGTGCCTCGTTTGCCGGTTTTTATTATATTTGTTTTCAAAAATCAACAGCCACAATAGAAGGTTATTATTATCATAGGAGTTCAGAATGGTGAGAATAAGAAGTCACATAAATATTTTTAAATGAAAACATTTTTCAAAATTGTTTTATTAAATAATAATTTTTCATATTTTCAGGTATCAGTCTCTCACTCTAACTCATGTACCTGAACACAGCATACAGATATACGAATTTCGATAATTTGCCTTCGAGCTGTGTGTATCCAGTTTTTCAAACGATTGTCTGGTCAATGCATTGAAAGTAGTACATTGTCTTGTTGAGTTGTAATTTTTAAGTGATTCTATCACAGTTATTAACTTAATTAGAACTATTCAAAATAGCACATTTGTTATGATTTATGTAAAATTTTTCTTTAATAGTTGGTTATTTAAATCCAATGTTTATTGTGCTATATTAAGACTAAGTCATTATAACAGCGGATGATATACAATTCACGATTATATTATTTATATAAAGAAAATGGTTTATTTATTTGTTCTGTTATGAAGAGACCATACCAACTGGATATCTTTTGGGTAACATTTGGTCTTGTCATTTTGTTTTTTTTTTTTTTTTAATTTCTTTTTAACCGTTTTTCGGTGCTCAAAAATTGCAATATTATGTTTTTTGTTTTTGTTTTCTGTTGTTTTTTATTCATTAACATGGTTTTTTAGAACAGAATCTCTTATGTTATATCTTTGCACTCACCTATTCTTGAATAGCCATAGATCCTTTTAGTAAAAATCTGTTCTAAAAACCACTAACAATATTTAATGTTTGTGATAACAATGTTATAGCCAAACTATTTATTCTTACACATTTAGAAATACTCTATGTCAAAAGTCTTTTTTGTGTACAAAATAATTTGTAAAGTAATATTTGTTGTGCTACTTCAATGAAATATACAAAAGAAAATAAAGATATCACTTTAGTTATTGATGTTTGAACGTGTCTTTTTTTTTCTTCTTCTTTTTGTGTTAAAAATTCAAACATTTGGTAAAAAAGATCTATGCAATTCAAATTTAATTTTATTTCAATCTGTTAAAAAATTTTAGTTAAAAACTTTTCAATGTATAAAACTTTCATTTATGAACTAGTAGAAAAAAAACATGAAAAATCATTCAAAATATTTAACAACATGACTTATTCTGCAGAATTGTACAAAAATGATTTTGTCAAAATAAAAATTTACTTCTTTGTGTTTGCGCTTTCCAAAAGCTTCTTACGGGCCGAGGAATGATTTCCGACCACCGTGCTCTTTCGAGAAACTGAATAATTTTTTTTCAAAAGAATTAAATTTTTATTGAAAATGCTTTGGCTATAAAATAATTACCTTTTTGAGGTTCCTGTTTGAGTGATGGCTGATGTGTATATTTATGGGCTGGAGGTGTAATGGATGGACGGTTGGAAACTGCATTTCCTCTTAAATTAAAAACAATTCAATTATATATGGTGTTTAAATTCAAAAAATTTCATAAGTATAAATTTAATACAAACCTTCTGATGGCTTTTGTGTAATATTTTGAAGACTTTCTTCCATCAAAATTATCATTACTATTTCTATTGGAAAATTAAATAAGATTTTACATCTTTGGAACAATAATATGCATATATTTTAAAACACTACCTTTTCTTCCTTTCTAACACTTTTAGTGTGGCACTGGACAACTGCTTTTTGCTTTCCGTATTTGATACATTACAGAAAGACTAAAAATGACATTTTTTAGTAAAAAAGTATTTTAAAAGAGTTTATTATTTGAAAACGTATACCTTTTCTTTTTCTGTCTTTTCTTTAGAAGAATTTCTGGACTGACTGATTATGGCCATCCTTTCTTTTGGTGTTAATTTAAAAAAGATATCGTGTAGCTCATAACAGGCAGCTGTTAACTGAAAATGAAAATCTGGATATTAATTTAACGTACTTAAACATTACTGAGTTTATGGGAGGATAAAATAGATCAGTAAATAAGACTTTGACATTTTATTAATCACAGTAAATGATGTAGATTTTTTTTATGCAATGCAGACATAAATGTATATTGTGTATATGCATTCAATATTTAAATGTAATTCTGGTACAAACATCAAAACAGTTTATAATCTTTAACTGTCCTATAACTGAATTCATTACCTCAGAAAACAAACTTAATAATTCATTTCTAAATTTATTATAATTTTAAGTGTGTTCTGCAGCTAATTAATATTAATTGACAGCAAAATTATGAGCAAGAATGGAATACTCAAACTGTAAAGCATTAATTCTCACTTTTGAAAAGTACTATGGAAAATGTGAAAACAAAAAGTATAGAAAACTGAATTTAAAAATATTTGAGAATCTGTATATAACAAATTAAGAATGTTGTGACATTAGATCAATATGACAGACAATGAAAATACATGAAAAGTAAACATGCCGATACATTAGAATGCTTTGAAATAACTTTTCTTTCACTTGAGAATGAGATATTCAAAATTATTCACAGTACCTGTGAATAATTTTGAATAACCTGACCAAATCATGTCTTGGAATTCTTATCATATCAAGACACCAATAGCAAACATCATTTGAATTTTCTTTTTTTTTGCAAAAAAAAAAAGGCTACATTTTTTTTTTAACTCATTGAATTTGTTTTTTACATTTCTGCAGTATTTTTCCACAAACAGAAACTAAACTTTATTGTTAGTTAACATAAAGAATCATGGATGGGCACCATTATATCTAAATATACTGTAATTTAATGAATACATTAGAATTCTGATTATCCAAGTTAATGCGCTTTTTGGATTAAAAGTTACAAATATGAAAGATTTAGGTATCACTTTTAAACCTTTTTTTATACCTTATGATTAAAGTCACTAAGAACAAAATTTTTACATTATTTATTTATACAGTTAATATGTATGGTACAATAAATTTAAGAATAAAAACATGTATTATTTCTGTTACATTTTAACATGAATGGCTTATCTCATTACAATTAAAATGACACGAGTAATTACTTATTGTGACAAGTTAGAATAATAATGACTTGGGTAGAGAAATCCACCAATCATGGAACAGTATTATCAATAACAGGAGTAATAGATTTATAAGGGGAGGAAGCTAAGTGGAAATGTTAACAGTGCATGCAACAGTAAATGATGGATAAGTGAGTAAAAAATCCTTTTAAACATTGTAATTTTTATAAATGCATATTTACCTTTATACAGGAATAAATATATTATGATGGGAATTCTTCTGTTTATTTATTTACATGTTGAAGTGCTTAACAAAAGGTAAATTATAAGTCATGCTAAAGTTTATATATTATTGTCAGGGTCAGGAATTTTTAATGTATTGTATTATTGTAATTTTTATAAATTTTGTTTTTAGCACCGTGTTATTGTAAATCTGCTGAAGAGAGTCCTGAAGGTCCGAAATACAAATAAAGTGTGTACAGGTGAAATATCAGATGAACAACAAAGATTGTTTTTTCTGAATAAGTTTTCCTCAATTGCAGAAACAGAACACCAGTACAATAACTCGTAATAATGCAATCTGTCGTAGTAGACATTGATATAATAAAGTGATTTTACACTTTCAAGTAAAATTGCTTTGCTGGTTAAGATTAAAAGCCAGCCATTGAATACAAACCATCATAGACTTGTTGATATAACTGTTATGGTGTACCAAAATCTTTTTCCATTGCAAGAAGTCGAAGAAGCATTAGATCAATGGTTTTCTATAGTTAGAAGGCAAAGCCAGAGGAGATCGCTAAAAAGCTGAGTCACAATGATTTTAAAGCAATTGATGGTTGGCTGTCTCGATAGAAAGCAAGACACAATATCAAATATAAAAAAGTGCACGGTGAAAAGGGCAGTGCAGTTAATGTAAATGCTGAACAATGGCAAAAAATTAAATTCCTACTTTTTTAGAGAATTTCTGTTCAGATGATATCTACAACACTGATGAAACCCTTCTATTATTGTGCTATGCCAGACAGCTTCCTGTGTTATATGCACGTTGCACTGTCAGAGTATAAAAGAGCAACGGACCGCATTACTGTGTTATGCTGTGCAAATATGCCAGGTATTGACAAACGAAAACTACTAATCATTGGAAAAAATGCTAAGCCTCGATGCTCTAAGGGGTTAACAAGTTCATCGACAACCAGAGAGATCAGTGGAAAAATTTTCATTTTGCAAGCAATACAGTTTGTAGCTGACAGTTGGTGAGCTATAAAAAGCAGCATAATATAAAACTGCTTTGTTGTTTGTAGTTTGAAACCTTTGGAAGTTCCTGAAATTTTGAGCAGTGAGAAAAATGAAAGCATACTGCAAGTTCCTATCATGAATTTTCAACAATTTAATAGATGACAATTTACCATGTTATAATAAAAATGAAAACTTTGAGAATGCAATTGTTGAAGTCATTAAACCCAAATGTCAAAAATTTGATGAAGAAAGCAATGATGAGGCAAAAAAATTTATAGTCAGGTTACAATGTTATTTACGCAGGATGGTAATGAAGGAAGCCCTACATTGCACTGAATATAGGTGCTGATTTTGTAGAACTGCAAATTTCAGAAGCAAAAGACAGACTTCATTTGATACATTTTTGCAGAATTAAAATTTGAAATTGTAAAATTTATCATGTGTATACTATTTTTTCTGCACAATTTATAGTACAAATATTTTCTGTATTTTGGTTTAATAAAGCCTTAAAATAAGTACCTAATTATTATTTTTTTACCTACTTATTCAATTTCCTACGTATTACATATTTACTTTTAGATTTTATTACTAGTTTGCTTAATTGGGGCAGCTGCTTAATTGGGCCAAAATGGATTAGTCCCAATGCATCCCAATTAAGCAGAATTGACTGTATTGTCTTTTGACAATAACAATGTGTAACTATTTTAACAATGATATATACATTGAAACTGAGTACTAAAGGAGTTCAATGTCTGCCACACTATTGAGAAGGAATCAGAGTCCTTAAAGTTCACTACCTTCCAATTCATGATTGTCTTGTATATTTCCAAACCCTTTAAATATTTCAGAGCTCTGGGATCCACTGTCCAATGTATCAATTAAATTCTATGTGTACCACATCATTCTCTGCCCAGGCCATAAGAAAGCTTTTTTCTGATGCTGTACTCGTGTTCTCTGATTCTAACTGTGACCCTTGCTGCTCCAACAAATATCAAGTTACAGAAATAGTGTATACTCTTGGTGAGAAAGATTCTTCCACCAGTTCCGTATCATTCCTAATGAAAAAAAACTGTGGGGCTTCTATAGGCCCCTCTGATGTTAGCAGCTCTGACAATTTCATCATAGATGCAGAACAATGTCCTGTTGTATGTAATAGCCACAAACCTCTCTTTATGTTGCATCTGCATTTGGTTTCCAGGATGCCAATATTGTTGTACAAGTTTGTTGATGAGGGCCACCAAGTAGTTGTGGTGTATGGCTACAGATGTATGAATTTTAATTCCTTTTTTTGTATCTTGTGCTGATGAGCAGTGCATGAAAGCCCTCCTAACCAGAGATCTAAAGGCAGCCGTCTTGTACTGGTGCAGATCATATGATTGGTTAGGAATGAAGAAAAGAGAATATGTTTATTCATGATTAACTGTCATGGTGAAGCATCTGGCCCAGAAGATGATCCGTATATCCAGGAAGTGCACCCGTTCGTAACTTTATCAACCTGGAGGGAAAGGCCAGAGGTGTTATGGTTGAAGCCTTCAAGATCTGATTTGCTTTGGCACACAATTAAAATGTCATCAACATATCTGTGCACAAAGTAATTAGGTCATAAAAGCAAGGTAGAATATCATTCTCGAGTTTCCTCACCACCACTTCATATAATTTCCCTGATGGAGCTACCCATAAGTATGTCCCAGCCTTGTAAGTACTGTACATAACACCCTCATAATTAAAGGAGGAAGAGTGGTCATACTGCTAAATGTAAATTTTGGATATTAATTAATTAATTAATTGATGAACTGTTGCCTGAGACAATTTTAATTGCTTCGTAATGTTCCTTTGACCGAGTAGGTTTTTCCCACATTACAAATAACTTTTTTTTATCAAAATGGCATGCCTTCAGGCAAAGGCTTAAAGACCAGACTAGCTGCTGAGTCAAGATGTTTGTGTCAATTGAGAACAGTATTCACTCATTTATCAGAAACTGCAAATCCCTTCTCTTTACACTCTTTAACAATTTTGTTATATGAGTATCTGAAGTTGGAAAGAGCTACAACCTTCCCAAAATGGCCATGTTTTTGGAGGCATTTCTATAAATAGCACAAAAAAATTAGTTTGAAATGTTTAATTGGACAGCTAATGTGTAAAACATGTAGCAGATGCAGGCAACATGTACTGTACAGTACAACTTCTCTAACTCTATTCTTCAAGGGGCAGGATGCTCCAATTCAAGTTAGAGAACAATACAGTGAAAAATGCCAATTCTGAATAGATTTGCATTTTTACCTCTCTTGCATCATATAAAGAACCTTTGATAGCCCAGGTAACACCTTTCAGCAAAATGTTCAATGTAAATAATGGAATTGAACAGTTTTGCAGGTATGGAACATCTTGTTAAAATAAAATAAGAGATCTTCTTGCTTTCGACTGGAGCATTGTCTGCAAATGAGATGAGTGCTGGGGACAATAGATACAACTATCTGAAAATTTTATGGAAATCTGATAATTATGATCACTTTGAATAAAGTAAATATTAAAATTTGAGTCAAAAAGTTGAAAGTAACATAAATCAATATCAGAGAACCGTAAAAACCTACAACTTGGATTTCCTTAACTCAAATTTTCTCCAAGTTGGAGACATTAAATCCATATACTATTCCAATGAGACTACCAAATGCTTCATTTTCTTTGAGTTAGAGAAGTTTTACTGTGTTTAAATTTACTGATTCGTTACCATCACAATGAATCCATCATCTGTGTAAAAAGAAATTATTGGAAACTTATCAGCTTTTAAAATAGAAGTTTAAGTAAGTATCTAATAGAAGTGACTAATAATATCAATTAAAAAGTAGACTGATATACAAAAAAACGAATGCCATAGAACTAAGAACAAGGCATGCCTATACGTGTCTTTGGTAGTTTTGAAAAAAAATCACAATGAGAAATGGATATCTGCACCCCACAAAGGATTTTTCACATTGTTTAAAGATGCTCTTGGTGACTCCAGACAAAAGAAAAGCCACTTGATGCATTTATAATTGCAAATTAAAGTTGTTGGTTAACTTACATTGCCATAACATACACCTGAATTTTTCTCTCCATAAAAAATAAATCCTAAAATTCAATTCGAAATTCATGTGCATCTTAGAATTGAGAAAATATTAATTTAATGTTAATCTGATTAACTTTACTTGTAGTTAATCAGATTAACAGTACTTGCTTTACCAAAATTTTTTTCCATTTGTTTCCTTAAAATAAATTGTTCATTGTTTCTTATATAATGACAAAGAGAAAAAAATAGACGTTTGAGACAAATTATATATTTAATATTAAATATATTAATGAATTCCTGTATACAGTATATAAAGTTATACTTTATTATCAACATATAACTAAAGTTTATTCAACTTTATTCCTATCCTCATTAAAAATGTGAAATAGATACAACTCTGTCAGTGTAGTAATATTAGATATGAATAAAGTTATTTGAACCAAAAAAAAAAAAAATATGAGAATTTGAAAATCATAAGAGCTGTGGAGTTCTGCAAATAAATAAATAAGTCATTTTTAGTATAAATGATCAACTTAAACAATGCTTGGTTATTACTGCTCTCTTGGAAATAATAAATGAGAGAGTACCAATCATCTTAACACAATGTTTGAACAGAATTTAGTGCTACATTTATAAAATATACGAGAATTTCTTAAGAATGATTGTAAGGTCTTTGATTATGCACATAATCACATAATCTCCAACAAAACATTAAATTTTAAGTTTTTTCTATGGGAAAAGCCTTTTCTAAAAATTCTTAAAAACAGAAGCAAATAGAAAAATTAAATATGAATCTAATGCTAAAAACCATTTGGTTCTATCAGCTGCTATTTTCAAGAATTTTCTCATACAAAAAACATTACATTTTTAATGTCATCTGCTAGAGATTGCATGTATAACCAAAGAGATTACAATCAGCCTTAATGAAAATTATTTTTTTATATTATTGAATTTTGTACATTAAAATCAATNGAAAATTACGGAATGTATCCCTACTTTTTCAAGGCAAGTAAAGTCTTTTTTTATGCGAATTTTTTATATGCGTTTTTCTGTAGAACTTATCCACCGCATAAAACGAGACCTTACAGTATATGAGTTTTGGTTGTCACTACAAGAAGTTCAAACTTCTATCTGGTAAAGTTTTTTAACATTTAAAATTATTCTTTTATTAGAAGTAGATGACAAAAAATATAATCTCCAAATGTATTGTTTATATGTCAGATAAAAAAGTAAACATAATAATTACATAGGTCTGCAAGTAAAAAACTGCATAGGATTTTTATACATTTTCTTATAGATTTCAACTTGGTAAAAAACAACTAATATAATTAAAAGAATAATAACATAGGTCTGCAAGTAAAAAACTGCATAGGACTTTTATACATTTTCTTATAGATTTCAACTTGGTAAAAAAAAAAAATGTTAATGGTTGAAGAGAGTAGTGGTAGGGGGAGGTGAGTTAAGTAGTTTTAGCGTTAGAAGGAAGGTCGCATGATCGTGTAGAGACAGGTTAAAAGTTGATAGTGAGTAATATTACTGATGAGGTTGAGCATGTTTCGACATATTATCTGGGACACTAGGAATAAATATAAACAACCTGCTGTTGGATTAGATCATGTTTCAACAAGCTAAATAAGTTCAGTATCTCGCTGGCCATCTAATGTCACACTCAATTTATATCCAGCATTCGAATGCTACCGTGCTTGTATTTTTATTTCTGGAATATGACTCGCAGAGGTTGTGTAATTTCTCCTGACTGCTTCTGTTATGTTTGTGGTGAATACACAGTGAAAAGTCAACATTCTCTTTATCTGATCCCTTCTTTTTGGAAACAATGGGAGAAAAGGAAAAAGAAGCATGGGATTCTTTCAAGAATGTAGTGCATAAATTTTTGGGGAATATTAAGAACCCTGAATACAAAACCATTGTATAACACATGCTGGCAGTGTATGAAACTCAAGGATGCAAGGTGAACTTAAAAGTTCATTTCTTACACTCCCATATTGACTATTTTCCCGAAAACTTGGGAGCCTACAGTGAAGAACAGGGTGAAAGATTTCACCAGGATGTCCATGATATCGAGAGACGTTACCAAGGAAAATGGGATGTCAATATGTTAGCTGACTGCTGTTGGATGCTCAATCGACAAACCAGAGAAGGAAATCAGAAAAGAGTTCGGAGAAGAAGAAAAGGTGTCATAAGAAAAAAAGAGTAGACCTAAAATTGCGTATAAATATCAGAAACAATTTTTTGATTAGTTGTAAGAAAATATAATATATTTAGTTCATTGTAATAAATAAGAGTTTTTATCAAATATTTGTTTTTATTTTGCAAAAAACCTATACATGATGGGATGTTATGGAAGTTATTTTTAGAATCTCTGATCAGGATTTTTTTCATTTTTGGGTTCTTGGAGTGTCAAAATATCAAGAAATGCAATACAATTGGAGGAGTCAAAATTTGACAAAGTGCCATGTTTTCCATTTGTTACAACTATAACATCCAGGAAAATAAAATATCTAAGAAGATAAAGATGTTTTAACATGTTTATTTATTTATGCCAGTACTACCCAAACTGTGGTCAAAAAACAGTTTATTACTGGACCACAAGTTTTCACTTAATTTTATTAGCATAATATTTAAAAACATTTTTCTTTATCATTTAAACGCTTGGTTTCAAGGGTAGACTGGCAATCAAAATTATCCCACAAACCCATATTTTCAAAATGATAACAGCAAAATTTGGTTCTAGTTGTATTTTTCTTATTCAATATAAAACTTAAGTAAAAAATGCCTTTGAATTCTGCTATTTTTGTTTAATTTCACAAAAATACAGGTCTTTTTTTTTCATTCCAATCCTCACAAGAGATTGGAATGAAAAAAAAGACCAGTTTGGAAATTGAAAAGAATAGAATAGAATAAGAAAGAAAACTGTTCCTTGAACACTGAGTTTGAGAAGCACTGATCTATGTGGTATTTTTGAACATTGAGTTAAACAATTTCATCTGCCTTTGAAATTCAGAATCTTTTTGAAAATTTACATTGTTTATTTGCTAAGTATTAATATTTTTTACTATGAAAATAGATGATAAACAATTACTTTCCCTGATATTTCAAAACATGAAATAAATCTTTGTTGATTCTTTTTTATTAATTTAATAATTTATGAAATTATTTCAGGAACATTTTCTAGTCCCAGATCATACAATCAAAGATATTAATGGTGCCTCGTTTGCCGGTTTTTATTATATTTGTTTTCAAAAATCAACAGCCACAATAGAAGGTTATTATTATCATAGGAGTTCAGAATGGTGAGAATAAGAAGTCACATAAATATTTTTAAATGAAAACATTTTTCAAAATTGTTTTATTAAATAATAATTTTTCATATTTTCAGGTATCAGTCTCTCACTCTAACTCATGTACCTGAACACAGCATACAGATATACGAATTTCGATAATTTGCCTTCGAGCTGTGTGTATCCAGTTTTTCAAACGATTGTCTGGTCAATGCATTGAAAGTAGTACATTGTCTTGTTGAGTTGTAATTTTTAAGTGATTCTATCACAGTTATTAACTTAATTAGAACTATTCAAAATAGCACATTTGTTATGATTTATGTAAAATTTTTCTTTAATAGTTGGTTATTTAAATCCAATGTTTATTGTGCTATATTAAGACTAAGTCATTATAACAGCGGATGATATACAATTCACGATTATATTATTTATATAAAGAAAATGGTTTATTTATTTGTTCTGTTATGAAGAGACCATACCAACTGGATATCTTTTGGGTAACATTTGGTCTTGTCATTTTGTTTTTTTTTTTTTTTTAATTTCTTTTTAACCGTTTTTCGGTGCTCAAAAATTGCAATATTATGTTTTTTGTTTTTGTTTTCTGTTGTTTTTTATTCATTAACATGGTTTTTTAGAACAGAATCTCTTATGTTATATCTTTGCACTCACCTATTCTTGAATAGCCATAGATCCTTTTAGTAAAAATCTGTTCTAAAAACCACTAACAATATTTAATGTTTGTGATAACAATGTTATAGCCAAACTATTTATTCTTACACATTTAGAAATACTCTATGTCAAAAGTCTTTTTTGTGTACAAAATAATTTGTAAAGTAATATTTGTTGTGCTACTTCAATGAAATATACAAAAGAAAATAAAGATATCACTTTAGTTATTGATGTTTGAACGTGTCTTTTTTTTTCTTCTTCTTTTTGTGTTAAAAATTCAAACATTTGGTAAAAAAGATCTATGCAATTCAAATTTAATTTTATTTCAATCTGTTAAAAAATTTTAGTTAAAAACTTTTCAATGTATAAAACTTTCATTTATGAACTAGTAGAAAAAAAACATGAAAAATCATTCAAAATATTTAACAACATGACTTATTCTGCAGAATTGTACAAAAATGATTTTGTCAAAATAAAAATTTACTTCTTTGTGTTTGCGCTTTCCAAAAGCTTCTTACGGGCCGAGGAATGATTTCCGACCACCGTGCTCTTTCGAGAAACTGAATAATTTTTTTTCAAAAGAATTAAATTTTTATTGAAAATGCTTTGGCTATAAAATAATTACCTTTTTGAGGTTCCTGTTTGAGTGATGGCTGATGTGTATATTTATGGGCTGGAGGTGTAATGGATGGACGGTTGGAAACTGCATTTCCTCTTAAATTAAAAACAATTCAATTATATATGGTGTTTAAATTCAAAAAATTTCATAAGTATAAATTTAATACAAACCTTCTGATGGCTTTTGTGTAATATTTTGAAGACTTTCTTCCATCAAAATTATCATTACTATTTCTATTGGAAAATTAAATAAGATTTTACATCTTTGGAACAATAATATGCATATATTTTAAAACACTACCTTTTCTTCCTTTCTAACACTTTTAGTGTGGCACTGGACAACTGCTTTTTGCTTTCCGTATTTGATACATTACAGAAAGACTAAAAATGACATTTTTTAGTAAAAAAGTATTTTAAAAGAGTTTATTATTTGAAAACGTATACCTTTTCTTTTTCTGTCTTTTCTTTAGAAGAATTTCTGGACTGACTGATTATGGCCATCCTTTCTTTTGGTGTTAATTTAAAAAAGATATCGTGTAGCTCATAACAGGCAGCTGTTAACTGAAAATGAAAATCTGGATATTAATTTAACGTACTTAAACATTACTGAGTTTATGGGAGGATAAAATAGATCAGTAAATAAGACTTTGACATTTTATTAATCACAGTAAATGATGTAGATTTTTTTTATGCAATGCAGACATAAATGTATATTGTGTATATGCATTCAATATTTAAATGTAATTCTGGTACAAACATCAAAACAGTTTATAATCTTTAACTGTCCTATAACTGAATTCATTACCTCAGAAAACAAACTTAATAATTCATTTCTAAATTTATTATAATTTTAAGTGTGTTCTGCAGCTAATTAATATTAATTGACAGCAAAATTATGAGCAAGAATGGAATACTCAAACTGTAAAGCATTAATTCTCACTTTTGAAAAGTACTATGGAAAATGTGAAAACAAAAAGTATAGAAAACTGAATTTAAAAATATTTGAGAATCTGTATATAACAAATTAAGAATGTTGTGACATTAGATCAATATGACAGACAATGAAAATACATGAAAAGTAAACATGCCGATACATTAGAATGCTTTGAAATAACTTTTCTTTCACTTGAGAATGAGATATTCAAAATTATTCACAGTACCTGTGAATAATTTTGAATAACCTGACCAAATCATGTCTTGGAATTCTTATCATATCAAGACACCAATAGCAAACATCATTTGAATTTTCTTTTTTTTTGCAAAAAAAAAAAGGCTACATTTTTTTTTTAACTCATTGAATTTGTTTTTTACATTTCTGCAGTATTTTTCCACAAACAGAAACTAAACTTTATTGTTAGTTAACATAAAGAATCATGGATGGGCACCATTATATCTAAATATACTGTAATTTAATGAATACATTAGAATTCTGATTATCCAAGTTAATGCGCTTTTTGGATTAAAAGTTACAAATATGAAAGATTTAGGTATCACTTTTAAACCTTTTTTTATACCTTATGATTAAAGTCACTAAGAACAAAATTTTTACATTATTTATTTATACAGTTAATATGTATGGTACAATAAATTTAAGAATAAAAACATGTATTATTTCTGTTACATTTTAACATGAATGGCTTATCTCATTACAATTAAAATGACACGAGTAATTACTTATTGTGACAAGTTAGAATAATAATGACTTGGGTAGAGAAATCCACCAATCATGGAACAGTATTATCAATAACAGGAGTAATAGATTTATAAGGGGAGGAAGCTAAGTGGAAATGTTAACAGTGCATGCAACAGTAAATGATGGATAAGTGAGTAAAAAATCCTTTTAAACATTGTAATTTTTATAAATGTATATTTACCTTTATATAGGAATAAATATATTATGATGGGAATTCTTCTGTTTATTTATTTACATGTTGAAGTGCTTAACAAAAGGTAAATTATAAGTCATGCTAAAATTTATATATTATTGTCAGGGTCAGGAATTTTTAATGTATTGTATTATTGTAATTTTTATAAATTTTGTTTTTAGCACCGTGTTATTGTAAATCTGCTGAAGAGAGTCCTGAAGGTCCGAAATACAAATAAAGTGTGTACAGGTGAAATATCAGATGAACAACAAAGATTGTTTTTTCTGAATAAGTTTTCCTCAATTGCAGAAACAGAACACCAGTACAATAACTCGTAATAATACAATCTGTCGTAGTAGACAAATATTGATATAATAAAGTGATTTTACACTTTCAAGTAAAATTGCTTTGCTGGTTAAGATTAAAAGCCAGCCATTGAATACAAACCATCATAGACTTGTTGATATAACTGTTATGGTGTACCAAAATCTTTTTCCATTGCAAGAAGTCGAAGAAGCATTAGATCAATGGTTTTCTATAGTTAGAAGGCAAAGCCAGAGGAGATCGCTAAAAAGCTGAGTCACAATGATTTTAAAGCAATTGATGGTTGGCTGTCTCGATAGAAAGCAAGACACAATATCAAATATAAAAAAGTGCACGGTGAAAAGGGCAGTGCAGTTAATGTAAATGCTGAACAATGGCAAAAAATTAAATTCCTACTTTTTTAGAGAATTTCTGTTCAGATGATATCTACAACACTGATGAAACCCTTCTATTATTGTGCTATGCCAGACAGCTTCCTGTGTTATATGCACGTTGCACTGTCAGAGTATAAAAGAGCAACGGACCGCATTACTGTGTTATGCTGTGCAAATATGCCAGGTATTGACAAACGAAAACTACTAATCATTGGAAAAAATGCTAAGCCTCGATGCTCTAAGGGGTTAACAAGTTCATCGACAACCAGAGAGATCAGTGGAAAAATTTTCATTTTGCAAGCAATACAGTTTGTAGCTGACAGTTGGTGAGCTATAAAAAGCAGCATAATATAAAACTGCTTTGTTGTTTGTAGTTTGAAACCTTTGGAAGTTCCTGAAATTTTGAGCAGTGAGAAAAATGAAAGCATACTGCAAGTTCCTATCATGAATTTTCAACAATTTAATAGATGACAATTTACCATGTTATAATAAAAATGAAAACTTTGAGAATGCAATTGTTGAAGTCATTAAACCCAAATGTCAAAAATTTGATGAAGAAAGCAATGATGAGGCAAAAAAATTTATAGTCAGGTTACAATGTTATTTACGCAGGATGGTAATGAAGGAAGCCCTACATTGCACTGAATATAGGTGCTGATTTTGTAGAACTGCAAATTTCAGAAGCAAAAGACAGACTTCATTTGATACATTTTTGCAGAATTAAAATTTGAAATTGTAAAATTTATCATGTGTATACTATTTTTTCTGCACAATTTATAGTACAAATATTTTCTGTATTTTGGTTTAATAAAGCATTAAAATAAGTACCTAATTATTATTTTTTACCTACTTATTCAATTTCCTACATATTACATATTTACTTTTAGATTTTATTATTAGTTTGCTTAATTGGGGCAGCTGCTTAATTGGGCCAAAATGGATTAGTCCCAATGCATCCCAATTAAGCAGAATTGACTGTATTGTCTTTTGACAATAACAATGTGTAACTATTTTAACAATGATATATACATTGAAACTGAGTACTAAAGGAGTTCAATGTCTGCCACACCATTGAGAAGGAATCAGAGTCCTTAAAGTTCACTACCTTCCAATTCATGATTGTCTTGTATATTTCCAAACCCTTTAAATATTTCAGAGCTCTGGGATCCACTGTCCAATGTATCAATTAAATTCTATGTGTACCACATCATTCTCTGCCCAGGCCATAAGAAAGCTTTTTTCTGATGCTGTACTCGTGTTCTCTGATTCTAACTGTGACCCTTGCTGCTCCAACAAATATCAAGTTACAGAAATAGTGTATACTCTTGGTGAGAAAGATTCTTCCACCAGTTCCGTATCATTCCTAATGAAAAAAAACTGTGGGGCTTCTATAGGCCCCTCTGATGTTAGCAGCTCTGACAATTTCATCATAGATGCAGAACAATGTCCTGTTGTATGTAATAGCCACAAACCTCTCTTTATGTTGCATCTGCATTTGGTTTCCAGGATGCCAATATTGTTGTACAAGTTTGTTGATGAGGGCCACCAAGTAGTTGTGGTGTATGGCTACAGATGTATGAATTTTAATTCCTTTTTTTGTATCTTGTGCTGATGAGCAGTGCATGAAAGCCCTCCTAACCAGAGATCTAAAGGCAGCCGTCTTGTACTGGTGCAGATCATATGATTGGTTAGGAATGAAGAAAAGAGAATATGTTTATTCATGATTAACTGTCATGGTGAAGCATCTGGCCCAGAAGATGATCCGTATATCCAGGAAGTGCACCCGTTCGTAACTTTATCAACCTGGAGGGAAAGGCCAGAGGTGTTATGGTTGAAGCCTTCAAGATCTGATTTGCTTTGGCACACAATTAAAATGTCATCAACATATCTATGCACAAAGTAATTAGGTCATAAAAGCAAGGTAGAATATCATTCTCGAGTTTCCTCACCACCACTTCATATAATTTCCCTGATGGAGCTACCCATAAGTATGTCCCAGCCTTGTAAGTACTGTACATAACACCCTCATAATTAAAGGAGGAAGAGTGGTCATACTGCTAAATGTAAATTTTGGATATTAATTAATTAATTAATTGATGAACTGTTGCCTGAGACAATTTTAATTGCTTCGTAATGTTCCTTTGACCGAGTAGGTTTTTCCCACATTACAAATAACTTTTTTTTATCAAAATGGCATGCCTTCAGGCAAAGGCTTAAAGACCAGACTAGCTGCTGAGTCAAGATGTTTGTGTCAACTGAGAACAGTATTCACTCATTTATCAGAAACTGCAAATCCCTTCTCTTTACACTCTTTAACAATCTTGTTATATGAGTATCTGAAGTTGGAAAGAGCTACAACCTTCCCAAAATGGCCATGTTTTTGGAGGCATTTCTATAAATAGCACAAAAAAATTAGTTTGAAATGTTTAATTGGACAGCTAATGTGTAAAACATGTAGCAGATGCAGGCAACATGTACTGTACAGTACAACTTCTCTAACTCTATTCTTCAAGGGGCAGGATGCTCCAATTCAAGTTAGAGAACAATACAGTGAAAAATGCCAATTCTGAATAGATTTGCATTTTTACCTCTCTTGCATCATATAAAGAACCTTTGATAGCCCAGGTAACACCTTTCAGCAAAATGTTCAATGTAAATAATGGAATTGAACAGTTTTGCAGGTATGGAACATCTTGTTAAAATAAAATAAGAGATCTTCTTGCTTTCGACTGGAGCATTGTCTGCAAATGAGATGAGTGCTGGGGACAATAGATACAACTATCTGAAAATTTTATGGAAATCTGATAATTATGATCACTTTGAATAAAGTAAATATTAAAATTTGAGTCAAAAAGTTGAAAGTAACATAAATCAATATCAGAGAACCGTAAAAACCTACAACTTGGATTTCCTTAACTCAAATTTTCTCCAAGTTGGAGACATTAAATCCATATACTATTCCAATGAGACTACCAAATGCTTCATTTTCTTTGAGTTAGAGAAGTTTTACTGTGTTTAAATTTACTGATTCGTTACCATCACAATGAATCCATCATCTGTGTAAAAAGAAATTATTGGAAACTTATCAGCTTTTAAAATAGAAGTTTAAGTAAGTATCTAATAGAAGTGATTAATAATATCAATTAAAAAGTAGACTGATATACAAAAAAACGAATGCCATAGAACTAAGAACAAGGCATGCCTATACGTGTCTTTGGTAGTTTTGAAAAAAAATCACAATGAGAAATGGATATCTGCACCCCACAAAGGATTTTTCACATTGTTTAAAGATGCTCTTGGTGACTCCAGACAAAAGAAAAGCCACTTGATGCATTTATAATTGCAAATTAAAGTTGTTGGTTAACTTACATTGCCATAACATACACCTGAATTTTTCTCTCCATAAAAAATAAATCCTAAAATTCAATTCGAAATTCATGTGCATCTTAGAATTGAGAAAATATTAATTTAATGTTAATCTGATTAACTTTACTTGTAGTTAATCAGATTAACAGTACTTGCTTTACCAAAATTTTTTTCCATTTGTTTCCTTAAAATAAATTGTTCATTGTTTCTTATATAATGACAAAGAGAAAAAAATAGACGTTTGAGACAAATTATATATTTAATATTAAATATATTAATGAATTCCTGTATACAGTATATAAAGTTATACTTTATTATCAACATATAACTAAAGTTTATTCAACTTTATTCCTATCCTCATTAAAAATGTGAAATAGATACAACTCTGTCAGTGTAGTAATATTAGATATGAATAAAGTTATTTGAACCAAAAAAAAAAAAAATATGAGAATTTGAAAATCATAAGAGCTGTGGAGTTCTGCAAATAAATAAATAAGTCATTTTTAGTATAAATGATCAACTTAAACAATGCTTGGTTATTACTGCTCTCTTGGAAATAATAAATGAGAGAGTACCAATCATCTTAACACAATGTTTGAACAGAATTTAGTGCTACATTTATAAAATATACGAGAATTTCTTAAGAATGATTGTAAGGTCTTTGATTATGCACATAATCACATAATCTCCAACAAAACATTAAATTTTAAGTTTTTTCTATGGGAAAAGCCTTTTCTAAAAATTCTTAAAAACAGAAGCAAATAGAAAAATTAAATATGAATCTAATGCTAAAAACCATTTGGTTCTATCAGCTGCTATTTTCAAGAATTTTCTCATACAAAAAACATTACATTTTTAATGTCATCTGCTAGAGATTGCATGTATAACCAAAGAGATTACAATCAGCCTTAATGAAAATTATTTTTTTATATTATTGAATTTTGTACATTAAAATCAATATTGCATCATTAGTATAGTTTATCCATTTATTATTTTATGCTTGTGTTCATATGTTACAAAAATATTCTTACATAATTTTAAATGATTTTAATAATTAATTATTGCAACTTGTACTTATAATTTCCTCATTAGACTTCAAAAAAAAAGTACAAAAGTACATATAGTATATTATTTTCTTTACTTAATAAAAATACATTTAAGAATTCAATATATCATATATTATCCACTCACTTGTGCAATAAGTCTTTTATGAAGTTCAGCATCTTTGACTGTAATTTTTCCTTTTTTAATAGGAGTTTCTTGATGAAATTTTAAAGCACATATTAAAGTATCCTAAAAAAAAAAATTATTTTCAATTATTACTGGAAATAAATTAATTAAAAATAAAATGAGATGATTACCTTAATTGTTTGAATTATATTCTGGACACGTTCTGTTTTCATGAGACGTCTAGTTAAATATCCTTTGGCAACGGCACTCACTCGGTTAAATTTGGCCAACATTTCTGGACTAAACTATTTTATTGTGAAATTTCTCTTTAATTTCAAATAGAAAAGAAAGAGTTATTTCAAATGACATAATATAATTCAATTAAACTTACTTCTCTCTTATCATTACTGGTGTTTATTTCTGAGAATGTTTGTACTTTGCTGACATCATTTTTGTCACTTAATGGAGATATATTATTCACAGTATCATTTCCTTCTAAAAATATAAATTTCAGAATTTTAATTTAAATAGTATTGACAATAAAATGTCTATAAAAATTAGAGAAAAATATTTTCTATATCCAAAATTTAAATTTTCTATTTATAATTTAAATAATAAAAAGATGCAATATAAATTATTAGACATTTTTAACATAAAATTTAAATTAAAGGAGCTACAAATAAAATAGGTATTGCTAGTGTTTCTCAGCCTTTTTTACTTGTACTTCACTTCTGTATTTTTCTTAATTCCACAGGCCCATTTACCATAGTAAACATTAGACAGCAAAAAAGAAATAATAAAGATATTTTAATTATTACACTATTCATTTAAATTCTATTTAAATATGAACATACATAAATAATAATACTACAGTAGTTTTAGTAATAATTTTTAAGATGGCTCCATATGTTCAGTATTCACCAATTGTCAAATTGCTTATTCGTCTCTTTTGATTCAGCACACATACCAACAAGGAGTGAAAAATAGTGAACACTGACTATTAGTCACAAATAAATCATCCACACTACTGGCCAAATGTTTGCTCAGCATTCAATGAATATTGAATATGTAAAGCCAGCTTTAGTTGAAACTGAATTTTAGATATGTCTCCCAGGAAGACTTTTGATGGAAAACTGGCCTGTATTTAGGTGTTAGAAATACAAAGAAAATCCATAAAACTCCACATAACCAGCCCACAGGGTCAGGAGCAAACCTGCAACTAACTATCAGTATTAAGTTGCCTACTTGACCACTGGTGAGCAATGTTCCCTCCAACTTTTTTTGTAGCTGAGCAGAACATATACTTCTCTGAGCAAAAAACTTTTTGTTGAGCAGATTCTGAGCATATATATAAAATCTTATTTTTTGCTATAAAAATTAAAATAATTAATATTAAGGTAGAGATTAAAATTCATTTTAAAACATACTTCCATACGAAATATTATCTTTTGTCAATGATTTAATGTATTTAATCGAAATATACGTAGCAATAATCATGTTGCAGACAGAGTGAAAAATAATTAAACAACAATTCAAATCAGTGTGGAAGCTCGCCTGCGCGATGCACAAATTCTCGTGCGCGGCAACAATTTGAGCAGTGCGTAGCCACGCAGCTTAGAGGGAACATTGCTAGTGAGCCCATCTCACTTGAAATGTCAAGCCAGGAAGGATGGAACTACATAGTCCTTAAAATACAGTAGAGCGTCGATTTTCCGAATCAATTGGGGACGGGGTTGTCCGGATAACTGATATTTCAGATAACTGATTTACGTACGAAAAAATAGTTTAACGTATCCGATGTCAAAATTTTTATCCATTGTATATAATTACCATTAATTTTATTAATCTTCTACCGCCAGCGGGTAGGCAAGTTCATCTTGATATTTATAACCATTTTTATAAAATATATATTATTTTTTCACTGAGTGTACAAAGATTGTTGAAGCGCAATGTAAATCTAAATTAAAAGAAACTTATGATTTAAATTAATAGGAAAATTTCAGAACCAATCTAGAAATAATTCTGTTGTGTAAGATGTATAATATTTATAATTTTTTGTTCATATTTTAAAGATTTTGAAATATGATAGTGTAGATTGCATGATTGGTATACTATGTTTATTAAGTTTTATGTAATAGGATACTTAAAACATGTTTAAATGAATATTAATTGTATTCTTGTAATTTTCTAAAGCCAACCCCCCTGTAACAAGACTTTTCTTATTACAATAAAGTATTTGTATAATAATTTATAATTTTTTTGGTCATTTTTATAACAAATTTAATTCTCAAAATACCANAAATTATGTTTTTATTTTGTACAAACAAAAGAAATATATTGAAAAATATAAAAACAATAAAAAATTATACTTCAGATGTTAATTTAGTATCAAAAACGTAAAATATTTGTGTAGCCCAAGACATAGCCAAAGATTGAAGCGCCACAGCACTGACAAAAATTTAAATTTGCCGACTGGAATTCTTTTGGATGATTGACGTTTCGGATGATTGACTTTCGGAAAATCGACGCTCTACTGTATTCCTTTTTGCTTGGACCAATCTTGAAGATATTTGATTTATTGGTTTTTGCAGTTTTTTTTCTTGTACAGAATATATATATTTTATTCTAAAAAAGTGGTGTAAATAATAATAAATAATAAATATCTAAAGTTTATTTTAAGTAAAGAATATTTTGTAATTAATTAAATCTAATATTAAATTCTATGCTAAGAAATAAAATGTGGATATTTTTATTATAATATTTTTAAATACATCTAAACTATCTGACATAAAATGTGTATTAAACAATTCCTATAAAAGAAGAACTTCATAGTGTCTCATTTTATTTTTAACTATTTAAACAAATAGATTTTTATTAACTGAACAGTTTATTGTTGTTATTTAACTTATTTACATAACAAAAATGCTTTTCATTTCAATAGAATAGATATAGCATTAAAACTTAATCAAACAAAAATGATCTTTCAAGACAATTTCTTAATCGATCAATCAATGGAAATGGCCTTTTAATGATTGATTTGTTTATGTCAGACATCAACACATTGATACACGTAATTTTATTCATTAAAGATAGACCAGACTAGACCAAATAAGGTAAAACAACATGAATGAGGAATAATAAATGCTGTTAATATCCAAACTATTCATGACAATCATCTGATGTTACCCATTTTGATCCATAAATTTAATTAAAACTCTCAAACATTTTTAATTTTGACTTTTATTTTATCTGTTATTTTTAAATTCTCCGTATATTTTATCAAAATTTCCTGAATATACTTTAAATATATTTGAAATTACATAGGAAAATTTATTGACAGAAACAAAATAACTGTTCAAAATATAAAATTTAGCAAAACTGATTTTTTTTTTTTTAAATTACAGATGTTACTATTACAAATTAATGAAAACAAATGGAAGAATAACCAAAACAAATAATTTTAATATAGTAAAAATAAATGCATTTTAAAAAGGTATATTTGAAATAATTAAAATTTTAAACACAAACTTGTTTACATTTCTAATACATTAATCTTAATTATTAAAGTAATTTAAGAAACTTTACAAATACCTAAATATCTTAAATAATTTTCATCTATCTTCTATTGAAAGGATTATATTGTATGTTATAATGAATTAAATAAAAATTCATAAGTCAATCTTCTACAAGATTTCATAAACTGTACTTATTATAATTATTAAAGTTATATTTACATTATAAAAATAAGTTACTTACTTTTCTTCAAAAGAATAAATGAAAAGAGAGTAAGAATATACATAAAATGATGTGGTATATTAATATTTATAAAAAATAATGGTTTAAGAAACTGTGTAATCCAACAATATCTCATTTTAAAAACAAATTAATCCACTAATGTTTCTTAGTAAATAAAATGTAATGACAGTAAACAAATGTTAACATTGCTGTTCTCATATTTATTTTATTTTTTCAATAATGAAACAAAACTAAATCTCCCAACTATTCAATAGATTTATTTCTTTCTCAATAAAACATTTTTTTCTTTGTTTTCAATTAAAAATTATTATTAGAGTAAGTTTTTATTAGATATTTATCAATAATCAGAGATTATTTATCAATTAATGAAAATGAAAAAATTAAGATATAATTAAGATTGCAACAAAATATATAAAATTAAAAATTTTGATATGAAATTGTTCAATTTATAATTAAATTAAGCAATTTCTTATCAAATAATTATAAATAATATTAATACATGTAAATAACAATATGTGTTGTATATAAATGTTTGTTAAATAATTATTTAGATTTTAAAAAATGGTCATTTCTGTTTGGTTTTTTTATTTAAATTCATTTTTCAAGTAAAATCATGCCACGTTTTCATAAGGCAAATGAATTATCTTGCTGTTCAATACACCTTGTTGCAGTTTCAATCTCTCTTGCTTTCCAAATTAATTATTCTTTTGTAATTTTTATTTCCATTCGTGAGTTCTCTTGTTCTTTTTCCATCATTTCTCTTGATTAACAGCTTATAAGCCAACATGTAAATCATGATTTCATTATCTGTTAACATTTCATTCTCTAGAATGTTATCATTTACAAACTGATCCTCTTTCTTTCAATTTTTTGAACTTTGATAATTGTTCCAAATCATTGAGCAGAACAATGTCGTCGTAGTTGGTCAGATCTTCAGTGCAGAGTTCTTTGTCCAGAAACTGTGATCTAGACAAGAAGCTATGCATTGAAGGCCCTAGAGTTTTCTCCATAGTCTCCCAAATATTGACAACAGATGCCAATATATAAATCACAACCCTTATGTTAATTTTTCTAAGTGTTTCAATTCCATTTCTTCATCAGCAGTTCTCTCAAGAATTTCTGAAAGTTTCCTTCTGTACTGTCTTTTCAGACTAACTATCACATCTTCATTCATAAGTTGCACCAACTTATGAATAAGTTCATAAGTTGCATAATTCATGCATAAGTTGCAATATTAGATAATAAAAACATAACTTTAATGTCATCAGAAGATAGGTTTATGGCATTTATAGATTTATGGAACATTGTCAAGTAGTAGAACAGACTTTAGCAGTAATTTCAAATGCATCAAATGTGCATTAACAAATTTTGTAACAAATTCAGATGAAAACCATTCTTCAAATAGAAAAAAATCCATCCAAGCCAGCCTCTAGTCTTTGTAGTAAACTAGTAAACTGGTAGAGCACTGAAGTTTAAGAAAGAAATGTTCTTGGTTTAGCAAACTTTCCTACAGTGGAAAGAGATAGTTGTGACTCCCAGCAACATTTATATTAAGGTTTACAATGATTCTCTCTCAATTAATTTTGAAAACAGTAGCAAATATTTCTTGAAGTTCTGTTAGCATTTTCAACAGAAAAGCTTAAAATTTAAATCTATTTCATCCAAATTGTAGATGTGTTCAAAGTAATATTTTTCTTCTGTACAAAGTTTAAAAACTTTTGGAATAATTTTAATTTTCTTGCAACATCTAGATCTGCTGACAATAACTTACCACAAATAGATAAAGAACTCTGGACTTTTTACATCATGAAAGCCATCTTTCACTGACTAAAAATTATTCTTTACTGTTAACTTTCTTGTGTATTGCCTTTTCCTCTATAATCAGCCCATTAAAAAGTGTTCCTCTTTGTCATTCTCACATAAATCATATTTATAATGCATCATTGATAACTTCATTTTTTGGATTGTATCTATCTTGAGAACATTTTAATTCTATTTGCTAATGAAGTCTTGAAGGAGTTTTCAGTTTCTGTACCAATCATTTACCATACTTTTTCCAATACCCAGTTCATTAAATATCCATTTTATGGGTTCTCCATTATTAATAAATTCCAATGCTTTTAGTTTTGTTCCAACAGCTAACACATTTCATTTCTGCTTGCTCAAGTCTATCATTTCAAATTAATGTAATTAAAAACAAAAATATTGTACACACAATGTGATTGTTATCCAAACAGAACAGATAGTAAAGACTAACTAAAATGTAAAAGTTATATGATCATTACAGTGCAATGCCTCATTCCCAGAATTGACACTAGAAATTTGATTTGAAAAAAACTTTCAACAAAAATATGTTCAGTTAAAGCAACATTGAATAAGAGTCAATTATAGGAGTTAGTCCAGATATATTTGGGATCATCCCTCATCATGCTGTCACCCCATTGGCAGTCTGGACAAACCCATGATAGACATGAAAAGGTCTTCTTCATGCTCACATCATAGATAGTTTTAAAAAATCCAATAAAAACATAAGAATAAATTAAAAATTAACCAGTCAAACTTTTATAGCTGAATTCTACTCATTTTAGAATATACAGAGCACACTCATTAATCCAAACCAATTTTGTTTGTTTTTCCACTAAATGTTCATACAAACACCAAAAAAAAACTTGGATTACTCTTAAAAATAAGTTGAATTCATCTATACTCCTTTTTGACTTGCTTTCCTTTACATATATTATAACTGATTATTGTAAGGGTCATTTGGATTAGCAGTATTATAATACTGCTAATCCAAATGACCCTTACAATAATCAGTTCAGATTAGCAAGAGAGCGCTGTATTTAAATTTTTCTAAGTATATATCGTTGCTACAACTTATTTCTTACCAATTTTTTCTACTAATTCTGGTGATGTTACATTTGATTTCTCATTCTGTTTGTTCTCTAAATTCAGCTCTTCTATTAAAAGTTGCCACTGCTGGCGTTGTTCCTTCAACAACAGTTCCATTTGTTCTTGCTGCATTTTAGCTAGCTTCTGTCTTGCATTTTCAAAATTTATTTCTTGTACATGTAAAAGATCTTCCATTGTTTTCCTAATAAAATTTTTTAAATAAATGATTTAATAAAATAATGTTAGAGAAATATTAAAAAGTCTTGCTAAATAAAAACTAGTATATTTGTCTTTTAAGTCTTACATATAAACTGTATACAGGATAAATTATGTTAATTGATATTATTAAAAAGTTTTTTTAAACTGAAAAACTGTGTATCATATTAATTGATGATAATCAATAAGATCAGATTTAAAGAAAGAATGAAATATGCTTGCTTATATAATACATCTATATATTATATATAGTGTATAAGAACAAAAAGAACAAAAGCAAATATAACTTTATACAGTACTATTATTATCAATTGTCTCTTAAAAATATAGCAACAGATATCCATGTAGAAACAGCATTTCAATCATTAATTTTGACATCCTATCCTTAAACACTATTCAAAAAAAATCTCTATTATTCAAGAAATCAAAAGTTATCAAAATATTTCAAATTTTTTACATATTTTTTGTTTTTTATAAATTATGCATAATATTTGCCAATTCTGTTAGAAGTATTCTCATTTATTGAACTTGTAACATTAAATTAATATCATGCCTATTGAACTTGTGGCATTAATTTAATATGTCACAAGTTCAATAGATTGTGTTCTTATAATATAGCGCTTAGAATTAAAAAAAATAAGAATCATATACAATATAATCATGTTTTATACAGACCTGTATTCTTGAATAAAGAATAATTTCAAATTTAAAAATAAAACCTTTAATAATATGAATTTAGTAGAGTCAATTACAAAATAACAACAACTCATATCATATAGAAAAGATCAATGTTTCTATTTTTATAAAAAGAGAAAATTATTCTTAGAAATAAATAAAAACTGTTTTAAACTTACTTCATAGCTCCTATCTCATTCAATAATGGTGTTTTATCTTCTTTATTATTTACAATAAAACTACAATCATCGTTTGAAGAAGGAAATGTTTCTTTGTGATGACTGATTAATTCCTTTAAATCACTATTGTTCCCTGTTGATAAATTTTTCACACTATTAAGTGAAATATTTGTTAAAATTTTAGACAATTCATTTTCTGAAGCAATAATATTTAAATTCTCTGAATGTTTATTTGATAAATCACTAACAGAATTAAAAATTACAGAATTGTTTTGAGAGTTTGTTGATGTAAAATGAGAGACTTCATGTTCACCTAATGCTAACAACAAAGCTGGAGAAGGCTCATCTAAAGTATACGATGATTTACGGATATGCTGCCTGACAGTGTTTTCAGTATTTTCATCTGTACTTGATAGGCTACTATCAAGTGATGAATTTAAATTCTTTTCCTCTATTGTTGAATATGATTTATTTACAAAATTATTTTCTGTACATTTATCACTTGAAACACTTAATGCCACCAATGTTTCACTGCTGTCAGTACAAGAAAGACATAAATTACTCTGTGAACTACAGTCATCAGCTAAAGTCAATTTAAATGAAGATGGAGTATTTTGAGTGCTATCAGTTTTAAGAGTCTCTGCTGAACTATCTAAATATCTTTCAAGATCAGTACTTTGTCCTGCACTAAGAACAATACTATCGGTATCAATTTCATGTTGCAATTTATTTACTTTTACTTCCTTCTGATTTTCATCAATAGAATTAATAACAGAATTTGTAGAAAAATTCTGTGCATAATTTCCATCAACATCAATATGTGGATTATCTAATTCTTCTACATTAACTGAATCTTCATTAATTACCTTGGTATTTATTGGCACATTCATATTTGAATCAAACTGAGAATTAATTGTATTGAAAATAATATCATTGATACAATAGGGCTGAAAATGTAATTGTTTTTCAGCAATAAGATTGTTTTCTTGACCTTCATATGATAATGATGAAAACCAATTATTTCCAGACATATTATTTATCTTATTATTAAAATCTTTTATCTCAGCTATAATTTGATCAGTGGTTTGTTTTCCAGTTTGTAAATTTTGTATTGAAATTTCTGTAGACGGTACATTACAAGTGAAATGAGTATTATTTTCTGTATCAGGAGAAACTTTGCATGCTTTATCTTCTATATTTTCTTCAGGAGGAATAGCTACTGTTTTTGTTTTATAAGTTTCATACTTTCTTTCTGGAAGAATTTCATCTGATTTTGAATCAATCATCTATGAAAAAAAAAATAAAAAATAATCATACATAATTCTTGAATATTGTAATATATTTATATTATTTTTGAAGATTTATCAATTTTATTACAATGTAAATAAACAAAGTATTTTCAGTAAAAAACTGAAATAAAATTCATAATTTAGTAGAATAATTCAACATTATTCATTTACTGTTCTAATAATAAATTAAATTATACCTCTGTATTACAAAGTTCTTGAATTATCATAAATTCTTTTTTAACAAATTTTTCTGTGGGACATTGAAAATATGTCTTTTCTTTTAATACTTAAAATATCACTATTTGATAAAATTTAATTTCTACATGATAAATTTTTAGAAGCCAGATGAAATACAACAAATCTTATTTTCCATATTGATAAATATGGACTCATTTTTATAACTGTCACTGCTGTATGGTCATTATGTGTACTTAAGGATCTTGAATTATCCTTGGATACAGATGATCTGAAGCCAAAGATAGTTCAATTTCAACTGCAATCCCCTTGATTATGTGTGGGGTGTGATGAAGGCAAAGATAAATGTGAAGCATTACAATACCAAGAATGCTCTAAAGACTTCCATCATGGAGGTGATGACAAATATGGACAAAGAGCAGGTCAAGCATGCCTGTAGCTGTTTCAGATCAAGACTGGGGAAAGTCATGGAAACTGACAGAGGCTAGATATCAATAGAATAATTTCATTCTGTATGTTGTGTAATACTTTTGTACCAATTTTTGTAAGAATATATTGAATTTTTATTCTATTTTTAATTGTTTTTCATTATATGGTGACTTCTCTCGATGCCCTGTATGTAAATCAATTATAACAATAGATTCTAAAAGTTAATACACTATCACAATAATACACTGTATAGTTTCTCATTTACTCATGAATGTAATATTTATATTTTAAACAAAGTAATTTATATAATTGCAAATTTTAAAATTTCATGCCTCTTTTGAACTTAAATTCTTGCATAATTGACGGGATTTTTCAAATCTTCTTTTAACAATCCTTGTTTCTGCTATCATAGCTTGTCTGCGATACTCTGCCATCTCTTGTCTTCTCAGAGATGTCATCTAAAAAAAGTTAACAGAAATTTTTTAAGTTTTTAAATATTTTAGACCATTTTTCAATTGAAGAGAAAATTTTCTTTAACTGAAAATAAAACTAAATTAAAATAAAAATTGTTCTTTTATTTTTGTTTACCAGAGGTGGAAGAATTGGTCTTCCTTTTATTTGAATACATGAGGTATAAAGAGGAAAAGTGCAGTCTACAGATGATGGCAGTGTTATTTCCATTTGTGGTATTAAATCTGTAATCAAATAAATTCAAATATTAATTAAAAAATTAAAATTATATGTTTTATTTTATATTAATTTAACTTTTACTATGTTGTCAAATATTTTCTTTATAAAATTAAACCTTAAAGAAATTAATATAAAAATTGTGCATAAATTAAATTTCTTCATTCTGATTTACAATTACCAGTAGAAAATTTTATTTTAAAAATAAAATTGATAATGCTTAAACATATCAAAAACTTAGTACCTTTTACTTCTTACTTCTTTCCAGCACATAGTTTATTAGTTCAAACAAATGTTTTCAGCCACTTAAGTGGCCCTCGTAAAGTATAAATAACTTATTTAAAAGAATCCATTGCATTCCAAGAAAACATGCTGGAAAGAAGAAGCAAAATATACTAATTTAAATATTGTTCCAGCTTTGTTATATCATTTTCAAAACTGTTTTTACACTTTGTCACAAAAAAGCTTATAAGTTTAAACTGTTATAATCTATTTAAATTTCTGACATCTTTGCAAGAAATTTAAGATTACAAAAAAAATAAAATAAGAAATGTCATACATCATCATGTTTTGGAGAATTTTCAATACTTAGCTATACAATATATATGTCTGTGCTGACAATGGATATGTCAGGACACACATATATGGTGGGAGACCACCAGGTACATAGACAGACCATCAAGAGATGATGATTGTCTGATTCTGAGACAAACACAACTACAAAGACATCTAGGTCCACATCAGAGACTGGTGAAATCTTGCTATTCAATCCTATTTCCTCCCATACCATTGGCAAGTAACTATAGAAACAAATTTACATATACAGCAACTGTTATGCATCCTGCCATTAGCATCCCAACATCATCAGTTTCATCTGTGGTGGTGCTGTCACTAAAGTGCACAAACTGTTATAGACTGGAATCATATTGTCTTTAGCAACAAATCCCAATTCTGTTTGAGAATGAACAATCACTATATTTGTGGAAATGACCACTGGTGAGTACTTTGAATGCTTCAATCTTGTCTTTACTGTTGAGCAGCAAAACTGCTGTAATAGTTAGCATGCTGGTCTTGGGAGCCATATCATAAAACAATCAACCACCATTAGTAGTAGCTGAGGAATGTCCACAATGATACCATTCAGGATATCCTACACCCTCATGCGTTGCCTTTCATGGCAGGACTGCAAAAGCCATTTTCCAGCAGGACATGCTTAACCATATAAAACAACAATTTCTCAAAAATGTTTCCATCACATTGCCACATTTCTTTTGACTACTTGATCTCCAAATTTGTTGCCCATTGATATTTGTGGAACTAGGTAAGATGCTAGTTTTGGCCATCTATGAGAGAACTGGAGCAGCAGTTGCAACATCTATGGATAAGTCTGTTGCAAGATAACATATGATGCCTGTTTGCCTTTATGCCTGACCATATCACTGAATGTATTCATATAAGAAGTCTTACAAAGCACTAAAAGCACTATTATATTTCACTAAAAGTTCCTTGCTTATTCTGAAACCGTGTCTTCTTTTATTTGTTTTTTCTGTCACAAGTAGGTGCATAGATAGACACTGGGTATCTTTGATATCAGTGATTTTCAAAGATGCCCAGTGTCTATCTATGCACTTAGTTGTGACAGAAAAACTAAAAGTTCCTTTAAATTGTACTGCCATTCCAAAAGGAAACTATCCTTTTGCTAATGATATTGTACTCAATTATTAACACTGTCATTACATTTGCACTAATAAAGTTTCATAATTCATTTGAATATCTTCAATTCCAGCATCTCTTTCTTGGTGCATAACTTTGTGAGAGTATAGGCTAATTAATTACTAAACTATCTGTTATAATTTTAATGTGATTTAGTGGATTTTAAATTTTTAGACTATGGGATGTAAATCCAAAAACACTGAAAATATTAGGAAAATTCATTATCTAATCCAGACTACATTCCAAACTGTCTGAAGATACCAAAATCAATTATTAGAGTTAGCTGCAAGTACACCCCTTTTTCAATCTTAGAGTAATTTAGAATACATTATTTGGGTTTGGATGATGAACCCGGAAATACACTTATATTTAATTATTTCTGAATTTAGATAACATGCTATTTAATGAAACAAAATCAGCAAACTCTTCAACTTTTAATAACTTTAAATTATTTGGTTCAGAACCACTTTTAGATGTACACATGAAAATTTTGTTGATTAAAAAGCACAGTACATTCAATATCAAATATCTGAAATAAACTAAGTTTTGCCTAAAATTTCATCAAAAAATGTTCTTCAGATACTTAGAACATCTCACTTAAGAATAAAATTCTAAATGATCTAAATCTCAAATTGAAGTTTTTTTCTACAAAAAAGACAGTCATTTACAAACTATTTTATCTGTTTCATATGATATTTTTTTGAAGATAGACACAGACTTTTATTATATCTCTATTACAATACAAGAATATTTCAGTTCATTATTCATACTTACATTCACCACTTTAAGCATTTTATATTTTATAGTTTATATGGCAAACAATAAAATTAGATATTAATCAATAAAAATAAATAATACATAAAAGTCAGTACAAGATAATTAAATATAATAAATAACAATACACCCTATTTAATGCTATCTGAAAAGATTGTTAGTGGTCTGAATGCAACCACATTTAGTATGGTGACATTTCATCATTTCAGGATATGTGGAAGACATTATCATAAAAAAGAAAAAGAAATTAGTACCATAACTTCATAACTATGGCAGTTTTGGCACTGCAAGCAACATATTTCTTGTACAAGACACTCATGTTACACATAGACCTTGAATACTGCTCAATGTGGTCTCCATTCTGGCCTAAAGGTGAAGAACAACCTGTTCAATGGCAAATCATAACTGATCTTCTATGATACTTCTTGCATGCAGTGTTATTGTCTTTGAATGCTACCAAATTTGCAGCATATCCCCAATTAACCACATATTTTACATCTCCAAAAATGAAACTTCTTTTTTGTTGCTTGCAGTGCCAAAAATTCTATAGTGACAAATTTTGGTACTATTTTTTTTTTTTATAGAAATGTCTTCCTCATCCTGAAATGTTTATTTTTTTTTTTTTTTTTATTTTTTTTTTTTATAGAAATGTCTTCCTCATCCTGAAATGTCAACTTACAAAAATTTTTACATTTAGACTACTGAATATCTCTCTAGACAATATTTGATAAGGATACTTTAATTATAATCCATTCAATACTTAACAAAAAAAATAAAATATGCTTAATAAGATGATGTTATTCTTAATAAGTTGTCAAATTTTATAAACCTTGATGTTTCTAATAAATATCTTGCCATAGTTTTTGTTATCCACCTCACTAAAATAACTTTGTATAATGATAATGTCATTGATATAATGAATTATTTTAACATAAAAACAGATTTACCATTTACTTAAAATATGGTATATATTTCCAAAAATTATATACACATACAATTATATGCACATATAATTGTATATGTATATAATAAACCAATATCCAGCAAGAAGAAATAAACAGGCATCATCAGGTTAACTGATCTTTATGGATGGAATACAGCTGCTAAAACAAGCAGTTAACTTGACAATGCCATTAAGCATGGATAAAAACATTTGCTTTCTTGTTATTTCTTCTTGCTTGATATTGGTTATACATGCAGTGTTTATTAACATATACCCAGTTTTAAGTAGTTGAATTCTTTCATATAAATTATATTCACAGCACTATTTCACTTGATATCAACTGCTGTAAATATAATTTATATGAAAGAATTCATTTACTCAAAACTGGGTATACATTAATGTATTTGAAGAGATAACATTAATGTATTTGAATATGATAACATTGTCAAATAAAAAAAAATCATTTATAATTTTATACAATTTTAATAATTAATTCCAATTAGCATAAATTATATCAAACAAGTTATATTTGTATAGTTATATCTGTACAAGATATTCCACATATAAGTAAATATTAAAGTAGTTATTAATAAATATATTCAATAGCTATACCAAAAACTAGATGTAAATACTATAATTAACTTCAAAAAACCAGTAATTCAACAAAAAGTTAAAATTTATTATTGCGATGAATGTTTTCATCCATATTTAATGGTCATCTTCAGGTTTTTTAAATTAAACAGCAAATATAGAAAATGACTGCTAAATATGTTTGTTGCAGTAATAAATTTTAACTTTTTGTTGGATTATTGGTTTTTGAAGCTAATTACCTCGTATAAGTATGTTCATTCATTAAAATCATATAAATCAATTATAGATATGAATAATAAATTTATGTCTTTATTTTATTCAGTGTAATTTAGCTTATTCATTGATAATTTTTTTACTATTTTTATTACATGACAGTGATAAATCTATAGTGAAAATCAATCAATCAATCTGGAACAAAACTAACATGATATAGAAATTATTAAATTATGAAACATTTTGAACAATTAAAATGTTAAAATACTGTAATAACTGATTTGTAACTTATACTTTCAAAAATTAAAATAATAAAAATAACATGACATTTATATGAGGAGGAAACAAAAGAAAATACATTTTTTTCCGACTCTTCTGCCCTTTGAGCACTAACAGACAACTGAAGCAAATCCTCTCCAGAAGTAAATAGGTAAAAATCACACAAATACAATAAGTAGAAAACATTACATTCAAAAACTGTGTTAGTAAATTCATGTCTTCAAGAGAAGTAAAAAATAATACAAAGTAATTTACAAATAAATAAACAAACTTTTTTAAAATGTTTATTTTTGTAAATAAGTCTGACTTATTACTTTAATAGATGTGAGAATTTGTCTTTGTGACTTATAACGTGCCACTAAATGAAAAATATATCATCTGACTTTAATAAAAAAAATTTTAATTTCATTACTTCCAATATGAAAATTTCTTAAAACACTAGATTCATAAAAATGTAATTTTCTCAAGGTAAACTTTTTAATATAACAAATTAATTTTCTTTTTCTTAGATTTAAATATATATATTGTTCAAAATTAGTAAGATAAACCCATAAGGTAACATACTTGAAGATTTTCAAAATAAATCAACCAAAGATCTATAACTTTACTCCATCAATAAATCAATAATTTATTGAAACAATTATTGATTTATTATTGATTTATTAAATTTATTGAACAATAAAATAATATGTCATATCTCAGCTCCAGTTCTCATCAAATAAATGTAGACTTATCATATTATACAATGAAAGATATCCTGAATATATTTTAAAATTACAATAGTTACCACAGATTTTTCCACTTTAATACTATTTCTATTATTTATGAAGCTGTCCCAATATATTCATAACAAACCATAAGGATCTGGACCAGATTTCAACCAAGATCTCTTAACTGTGTTATATGCTATGATGATAATTTACCATGCAGTCATCTAGTCGGCAGAAGCAAATATTAATTATTGAAGCCCTTTAATAATCATAATAAATCAACCCCAACTCATATTGTTAATCAAATAATCAAGCTAGATTTATTAATAAGCAACATTTTGGCTAATTAAATAATTTAATTAGCAAAAACATAACCCAATAATAAATCCAGCTTATTTTATCACTGCAGTAATGACTAAAATTTTCAAAATTACTTTTTAAAATTTTTAATGAAAATTCTAAAATAATGTATTAGAGTAAAAACTAATAGACAATTATTACTATTTTGAAAATGAAGTCAGAAAAGAATAAATAAACTTTATAATTACATGCATAATTTTTTTAATCTATCACTATCTTCAATATAACATCATTATCCATACAAAATTTATTATATTTTTTATTCTATCTCATTTCTTTGCTTTAACTTTTGTCACATTCTTTACATTTTCAACAAACATAAAACTCTTGACTAATTGTTATAATTCATATTAACAATTTTAACATTAACATTTAGTAATATGATTTATTATTAGTAAAGTTTACACACAAATAAAAAAGTAAAGTAAATTAGGATTATATTGTTCACTAAATAATGAAAATATGTATTTAGTTAAATTAAAATAAAGTAAAAAAATTAAGCAAAATGAAAATTAAGAAAATATTAATACTTTTTTTTAATTCAAAAAATAAGTGATACTGTACTGAAAAATTTATTCTGTACTGTAAATTAATCCACTTAAAAATTTCATAATTTAAAAAAATAGTTTATTCAAAATGCATAGAAAAAATATATAATATAAATCAAATTAAAATTCTAAATCATCTAATCATGAAAAAAGAAGACTAATGGATCTGTTACCAAAATTGCATTTTTGTATTAAACATTCTTTTTATAATTTACATCTAACTAATAGGTCTTTCTCCATTTTCAAAACGTTTTGGTTTCTTACTAACCTCTTAATCTCTAATTACAAGTGACTCAATATTCTGTACTTCATCCATCATATACTATATCTTTAAGTCAGCTTTTGACGACAATAAAATATTTTTTGAGACAACCAGCATCTCATTAGATCAAAAATTCCACTCCTAACTTTAGCTGCCTATTAATTGCCCTGTGGTTATTCAATAAGTTTGAAACGAAGCTCATCTGTCGGTCCAATGATGAGATGCAGGATGGTCTCGAAAAACATTTCGTCTACGTTAAAGACCGACTTCTTTAAAGGTTTAGCATACGACAAATAAAGTTTCTTGTAAATAACTTTCAAAATTATATTTGTGTAAATGATAACTACCATCCGAAACAATTTGTAATGACTTTAGGAATATTGTTTGTTAACTATACTTCATTTCTTTTTAATTTGATTTAAAAGTAACGATTCCTTGCCGTTTATAATTTCATCTCGTTATCGCTTAGTATCATTTAATTTCATTTATATATGTGTATATACATAAAATAGAAACCTTGTTATTTTTAAATAAAGCAATAATTTCACTTTAATATAATAATTTGTCAAAATAAAATTCTTATTGTGTTTATATTCATTTTATCACTTTAGAATATGTGTATGTGTATAAAAATATACATATAATAGATGTGCATATTCTGTATTAAGTACGGTACATATAACAAACGTATAGATAATGTAAATACAATTAAATTTACCCCATAAATGTAAACAAACTGGTACAAGTATTGAAATTTTATTCCAGAATTATACATGTTATTCCATTCTTTCAATTGTGTATTACGATCATTACGTTATATAAATAGCTAATTGCATGACTTTTTTTAAATCTTACCTTATAAACTATTCTATATTATAAATAATTTAATATCTACAGAAATATTTATTTAAAATCTTCATATGTCTCTTCTTCAAAAAAATAACAATTGAGAACGCCCTCTCTGGGAGACCAAATGACCTAATGGTAACAAAATTAATTTAATATATTTTATCGATTTTCTTTCAAATTTATTTATATTTTAATTAAATTTACAAATAAAATTTAGCATTTATTTAATTTATAAAAATCATTAAAAATTTCATAAAATTTTCTTTTATTTTATTCAATATCCCTTATATATTTAACTTTTAAACAACTTCATTTAAAAACCGCGTATAATTTACTGCTTTAAAATACATTTAGAACTTTAATTATGTATTTTTATAGATGCAGGTATGTATTTATTTTATTTTTCGACGGTTTAAAAATTATGCTTATTATTCGAATATTCGTAATAACTTGAATATATTTCTGATAATGGTAATTTCCATAATTTTCAAAATTTCTCCATATATTATGCTTATAAATACAGTAATCTACGGTACATACATTCTGAAATTTCATAATACGAGTATTAGGTACGAACCAATTAGATTATCCAAATTTATCACGTGATCCTAAAGTTGTTTACGATACATTTCGTATCTCATTTCTTTTGTGATATTAACATAGATTCAAATCATAAAATAATTAAAATCGTATTAAATATTATAACAGTGCATTATTTAAGTATTTAAGTTTGGTGACGAGTTTGAACAAGTCGGCTTGATCAACTAACGCTGTTCACGCATCAGACACACTTCTACGACATTTTGTATCAAAACGTGTCGAAAACATACGAATTTAATAAGACTTTATTCAATTATCATATTTATAACTTCATTAAAGAATCACAGATAATGCCATTTATTTTATAAACAAAATTCATTCCAAGTTATTAAAGGTCTACCAGCGCGGGATTTTATACGACGAAAGCTGTTTAGATTACCACCGTCACGCCCTCCTACGGTTACATACTTGATTTTTATATATAAACTTTTTAAAAAATATACGAAAATTATTGAAGTAATTTAGATAATTATTCTAATCGATATTATTCGTTAATAAATACAAAATTTAATTATATAATTGATCAATTTAGAAATAACTTAAAAATTTTTCTTACGTGGGGAGGACGAATAGTAACTTCGACAGCGGCGTCCCCCGTCGGGTATGATAAGTTTAGACAACTTTTGGTAAGTTTTTGTTTCTGTATTTTCGTAATCGTCGAACGAAAAGTTTGTTAATTAATCAGTCTCGAGTTAATTAATATTATAAATCGAGCGTAACTGTAACGAAAAATGAAATAATATACTTGCGCTAACTTACAACAGATGTATGGATCGGGGTTAGGCCACGCGAAGAGGAGGAAGTAGCTCATTACTATTCATGAGTAATCCACCGAGATTTTACGTTCTTAATTTTTTGCTATTCTGCAAAAATCTAGTCCAATAACGAACATTTCCTTAGTTATTAAATATATACGACGATACTCGGTCGTATTTATAATAAGCATTTGCTTGAAAATTTCCTTAGATGATTGGCTACGAACTTAACTCGGTAATGTACATTGTTTGCCTAATTTGTCATAGGGCGATTTACTTCTGAAATGTTTAATTATTGACAGCGTTGATGTACGCATGAAAAATGAAGTAGCTTAATTACTTAAATGTTTTTGACACGATTGTATTAAGCTAAACTGCACTAAGCTTAGGTAAAAGGGCTCAATTCGAACTCCGAATGAGACGGTTGAGACCTTAACGGAGCCGTGGAGCATACTCGTACTGGCAAAAAAGTCAAAGGAACCGTACCTCTACGTGTGACCCTTTGCCAGATATAACCCGCCAAAATTACTATGTGACGTATTCCTATGCTTTTTTTCCCTTATCTCCCCCTCCCCCCACAAATGTGTGTATTTTTTTTTTCTATCTCCAAATAACTGTGATGTTTTGGCTGGCCGTCTGGTATTTGTATAGACGTAAAGATCCTTAGAGAAATAATTACTTATTATTTGTAGAAAAGGGTTTTGGATTATAATTTTTACAGTGAGATATGATCGTTATTTATATCGTGTATAATTTTTTAATACAGTCGACCCCCCCCATAACACTGTTGATTATTCCGTTTTATATGAATTCCATGTTGTACGAGTCACTTAGATTTTACAAATATGTGAACTGTTCACAGCCTGGCACACGTATTTGTAAAATCTAAGTGGCTCGTACAACATGGAATTCATATAAAACGGAATTATCAACAGTGTTATAGGGGGTCGACTGTAATTTAATATATTAATATTGATTAAAAAATAATAAGATTGTATTTGAAAAATTTTTGATTAGCCTGCTTATTAAAATTTAAATAATTATAAAGTGGTTTGTTATTCCTATTTATTTATTAACAAGATATCTGTCGTTTTGAAGAAATATAAAAATTCGATATTCCTATGTTATTACGTATGTCCAGAGAATTTTGATTATCTGGAAATTTTTTTTACTATATGCGTAAGCAGGTGGCAATACGTACGATAATGGCAGAGTAATAAACTGTGTATTGTGTAATATGTATGCAAAAAACACTGCAAATTTTGTTAATTAAATGTTATCTGCAGATTGTACTGTTAAGCTAAGTGAATTAAATGAATATTAATTAGCAATGATATATTTTTAATGCACTAATACAATGACTTGAAAATCAATTTTGTAATAATTAATGTGTGTTTGCATGACAATATTAAAAATATCTATGCTTCACTGCATGTTTAATGTGATTTACACACAACTGCTGATCAAAAGATTTATTATTTACTGCCTGTTCCAGTAAGCAAAGTAAATAATTATTGTCACTGCAGAATCAGCAAGTTATCTAAATAATTATACATTATTAGGTTGCAATTTGAAAAAAATTGTAGACCTATAAATTCCCACTGTTGTCTGTCAGTCTGTTCATCTGTCTATCTTTCCTTAATCTAGAGAACAGAGTTAGATAGATGAACGTCAAGACTAGATACAGAAAGCTTAGAGACAGGAGGTCCTGATTAACTATATGCAAACTTCTGATTGCAAACCGGAAGTTACGTTATTTCAATTCAAAACTTTTCCCCTGAAAGGAGTTAGGTAGATGACTGGCACGACTCTATTGCTAACAAAAAAGTATGATGTACAGAGGCAGACACCTACTAATTTGAGGGGAGAGCATATATTTTAAATGAAATAAATTAAAAATATTATTAAAAATTGCAGCCTGGCATTGTGATGATGTCACAATAAATAATTAGAAATTAATTTATTGCTGAGATTTAGATTAATTTTATTTAGATCTTAAGATAGTCATTTGAAAAATGATTTTTCAAATAATTATCAGAGTATTGCATTGCATAGCAGCTTCCTTACAATATAAAATTTTGAAATATTTCATTATAAAACATTTTATTTGTATTAGAATATATAATAGTACCCATATGTAAATTCTAATTGCTTACTCCTTTATAGAGAGAGAGAATTATATGATTTTCTTTTTCTTTGTATCTTAGTATTCGAGATTATATATATATATATATCTGGATCATAGATCAGACCAGAAGTATATAGGTGACTGGCACACTTACAGCTAACTGTTTTTGTGAAGATAAAGTAAAGATGTAAAGAATTTCTGTTAAGTTCTAGTATTTTCAGGCTTTTCAGCCTTTTTTTAAATATAGCAACATATTATGTATGGCTAACTGGTAACATACTTAATAAATAAAAAGCAATTCTGTCTATAAATGTTAATGAGTCTACTACATATTTATTAATACAGAGGGTGATTTGCTAATTATGACTCATGATAGGATATCTTTTGTTCTACTTGGGGAATATAAATCAAATTTTGAAAACTGGTAGATGCTACTTTTTGCATTCTAAGAATGTTTGAGTTCAATTGTTCTAAAAATGGAGGCAGCAGTTGTGAGCAAAGTTGACATACACATCAAGCTTCTTTCCAAAAGGTCTTTCATCCCTATCTGTCATAAAAGCCCTCAAGAAAAATGAAATTGAAGTTTCTCAGTTTACAGTTATCAGAATTCTTGGTAACAAAACAAAAAAGTAACAAGCGAATGCTTCTGGTGAGTTACACCCAATATTTCCTAGGGCTCACAAATCTTGAAGTAAGGAGAAGATAAGGAAAGTTAAGGAAATAATTAGAAAAAAAATCCACCTAACCAGAAGACCATAGCAAAATGTCTGGGTATATTTCAGTTCACAGTTAATGCCATTATATATGAAGATCTGCAAGCAGCTACTAAGAAAAAAGCATCTGCACATCATCTCACATCTTTACACAAATAAAACCAAAAGACTAGCACAAATAAGCTCTATGAGAGGCATCTGGCTGGAGGAAAAAGCAAGTACTGTACATGGCCACCCTAGATGAAGAGTTTATATACCTTGATTACTGTAATAGAACTCGAAAAATTCTGTACATGCAGCCCAAGCAGGAAGTGCCAGAAGAATGGCTTGTCAAATATCACAGAAGGTGGCCTGAAGGATTTATGATTTGTTTTATTTTAACTCAATTATTGGGTTGTTTGGAAAGTAAGTTCGTTTTTCTTCCATGGAAAAAAACACAATATTTTTATAATAAATAAACATTTTATTGAATTATATATCAACCATTTTGGTCAAATACCTGTTGTTATCACTTCTGGTAGTAACATAATTTCACATTCATAAAAGTTTTGATCGTTGCTTACAAAAAACTGATCCAAGTGATTTTTGACATCGTTATTTCAAGTAAATGTCTTACAGTTAAAAAAAATTTGTATAGACCGGAACAAGTAATAATCTGAGTGTGGCAAAAGTAATAATCTCGATCTGGCAAATATGGTTGGTGTGATAGCACATCCCATCTAAGTTATAACAGTTTCTGACCAGTTACCAAACTTGTGTGAAATTTGACATTATCGTGGTAAAACACTACACCTGTTTTGTTGATCAATTCTGGCCACCTTTTCTGTTTGATGATATTAGTCAATTTGTTTACTCGATGGCAGTACACTTTCAAATCAATTGTTTAATTGTCTGATAAAAGCTCCAAAAAAAAATTTCTTTAAAATCCCACCAAAGAGAGCATCTCTCTTTAAGAACATGTGGAACCCATATATCAAGCTTTGAAACGAAACCAATTTGTTTCAAGTAATCATAAACAGTTCAATTTGACAAATTTAATCTCTTAGTGATTTCACGTGTTGTTATTTGGCAGTTTACTTCAATCAGTACCTTTATTTTGTTTTCATTGGCTTCAACTGGCCATCCAGAACATGGTGCATCTTCAATATTGAAATTGCCAGAATGAAATTTTATAAACCATTTTTGGCACTGTCGTTCTGTCAATACATCATCTCCATAAACGTCACACAATTTTTTTCTCGCTTGAACAGTATTCTTACCTTTTTGGTAATAAAAGAGCAAAATATGCTGAAAATGCAACTTTTGATCTTCCATATTTGATGGGACACAAAAAATAAACAACTGTACAAAATCAAACAAAATTTTTTTACAAATAAGGCTTAAAATGTTAGTTGTCAAAATATATAATGATAATATGGTTTAGAATGAAAATGGCAGGAAAAATATGACTAATCTGTCTAGTGGTAAAAAAAAAACTAACTTACTTTTCGAATAATCTAATAAATAAAGATAATTGATGAAAAACTAGCCATGCGTCTTTGAAATACACTATAAAACTAGTGTTTAATAAGTCAGGATTTATGATTGTTGGAGGAATGATAGGCCAGAAACACTTCCTCTTATCAGAGTGCCAAAAATTGTGTAAGTTAATGCTAATTACTTTGTGGAGAACATTTTGAAACCATATTTGGAATGTGAGATTCCAAAGCTGTATCCTGTAGAAGAAGCCAAAGTGACTCTTCACTATGACAAAGTGTCTAGTCACACAGATATGCAGCCGCTTATCCCAGAAGTTAAAGGCTGAAGGTGGACTGAATCACATTCCTGCAGAGGATATACCCACCAAAGCACCTGACATCAGTTCCATGGATTTCTTTGGATTTGGTTTCCTGAAGTAACATCTTTCTTCATAAGGCTACAACATTAGATGGTCTTTGAAAAGTAATTCAACAGGAGTGGTCATTGGCATCAGTCGAAACTTGCAAGATCTTCAAATCATGGAAACAATGATATGCAGCTGTGAGCCTATCAGATGGGGAACACATCAAGCAGACAAAAACAATTTATCGACAGGTGCTTTGTGAAAGAAACTAAGCGAAAAAGTGAGTCATAAGTAGGAAATCATCCTCTGTATTCTCCTGAGGATGACAGATAAGCAAACTACAAGTTTTCAAATTGTTTTAACATATATTTAATAAACTCATTAACAATTATAGACAAAGTTTCTTATTTATAACTTTTTGATGTTGAGTACCACAAATGTCTAATGAGAGCATACCTGCTTGGCATTGCTAGAGTTGCAGATTTGACTCTCATTCTAAATGTTTTCTTTTAGATGTTTCTAAATTATTTCTTAATTGATTAATTTTAATCATTAAATTTATTATAAGATGGTCATATTGTTTGCCTTTAGGCTGGGAACATACAAGCATATAAAATACATCCATTATGATGACATTGCCTAGACAACACATGAGTGTGTAATGTATGCCTGTATGTTGGATGTACTGTAGAAAAGTACTTTTGTCAAAGTTCTTAGACATCATGTTATTTGGCAGTATTTGAAAGAAAGTATTGTTTTATTTAGCAGAAAATATTTAAAATCTAAATGTAAAGAAAGGAAGTGGTAGGTTTATCTCATAAAAAGTAAGCATCTGAGAGGTCATTTTTATTCTTTATTTGTGCATCTTAGAGAAGACTCTGAGATGCTTTTTTCATTAAGCCAGAATGTCCAAAATTTCATTTGATGAATTATTATCCTGAACTAGTGATGTGCCGTATATCCATATCAGTGGATATCCGAGGGAAAAAAGATCCGTATCCGTATACATTACTTTTTAGCGGATCTTTAATGGATCTTTTATCTTAATGAATTTCATTATTTATATGAAATTTTAAAGATAGGTAGCAACAAAATACTAATAACTTCAGTTCAAATCACTTTTTATTTCTTAAAATCACATATTTGGCACATTCATATTGCAAAAATTTTATCATCTTTATCAATTTTATCATATTGCAAAAATCATTTACTATCATAAAATATTTCCATACTACACTGCTAAACTTTTTTGTCAATATTGTTTTTATTTTAATTTAACTCAACACTCTCCAAAAACACAAATGTAATCTATGCTATCCCGTGTCATACTAAACTATAAACAAAAACATGTCGCATTACTAACACAAAGTGTTAACTATTGGTCCAAGGTCACATGCACCGGCACCGGCTGGATACAAAAGTTGAGATCCGTATCCGTATCCACAGATATACATTTTTAATGATCCGGCACATAACTATCCTGAACCTACAGCAATCCATGCTGTATTTTTTGTTTTTGTTCTTGTAATTGTCATGTACAGTATTCTACAATAATGATATTTTCTCAACTTCACATATTAACATTTCACTATTGTTAGACATTTTTATACAAAATGGACATTAAATTTTGTGTCTATGTGGCCACTTGCACTCTCTTCTATTGTATGCAACAGTGTATGTTGACAATGCTTGACATCCATTCTAACTTGAGTATGTCAATAAGATCAGTGCTTTTTTTTTGGAGAAAAAGGTGGTGGAATGCTCATCTCATTACTAAAAATATATTACATGCATCGTACACAAGATTCGGCACACAAGCAGGAGCAGGACCGTCTTAATAATTTTGTTGCCTATCTTCTACGCTCAACACAGTGATTCAACATGGACCAAACATCAAATTTTCAAAACTTTTCTTAAAACTTTTAAAATATATCGAAAAAAGGTGGTGGAATGCCATTCCATTGCGTTCTATGACCAAAAAAGTACTGAATACGATAGTGTATGTCTATTCCACATCCATTAAAAAGTATACATGTTGAATGTGTATGATCTGTAATAGAAAACATAACAACAATACAACACACAAATTGATTTTATTTTTTAATGAACATACTTTATATGCTTATGTGTCTCCAGCCTTAGTATGAAATTTTTTGGTTTAATTAAAAATATATACAGTTTTTATAAATTCTTTTTATTTGTTCACTAATATAGTGTTTTATAATGTAGTTATGTTGTTAATAGAATTTTAACTAATAAACAATTATTTATCATGTTTTTGATTGAAAGATCTGTTTATTAAAAATAAATAAAACTTCTAACTTCTATTTGAAAAGTTATAATTTATTTTAATTCTTATTAAAAATAGTAGAATAACAATTAAAATTTGATTTTATATTTTATCTTATGTTTAATCTTTGTACAATTATGTTAAGAATGAAATTTAAGTTAAATGTAAATAAAAAGACTATAATGAAATAAAAATTATAATCAGTAAAATTTAAGCATTGTATTATGACATAATAATTGAAATCTGGTTTATTGATTCATATTTAATTTCAAATTGTAATGCATAAAATTTCATTTTATATGTAATTTTAATAAGTTTTACTAAATTTATTTATTTATTTTTCAGAAAATGTGAAAAATTACCAAATTGGAACTTAACTCTGGTGTATTTTAATAGTATGAAGATAGATATCAGAATTCTGGAGTAAATAAAAACATGACATGACATGACATATATATTCTATAATATACTTTTAAACAAATGAATTAAACCAGATCTAAGTTTAGCTTAATCTGAAAACATGAGTTATCAGAATTCCTTGAGTAGAAAAAAGAAAACTCGCTCATCGAAAAGTTTTTCGTGGAAAAAATCTTTCAATTTATCAAAATTTTTACATCATAAGCAAAATCTTCCATTTGATGAGAAATTATGTGATATCAATACAAGTGATTACAGTTCCTGCTCCTGTTCATCTGAATCTAGTCTTGGATGTAGTACTGTTAGATCTGAATCAGTTTGTAGTGATAGAGACAGACTTAGTGATGTAGATCTTAATTTTGAATCAGAAGATGACTTAGATTCTAACGAGGAAATAAAACGAGATACGAGGAGGACTCGGATGTTAAAACATAAAAATGTTATTGTAATAATTCCAGAGCATAATATTTCTGGATATACAAGAGATGAATTTTATCTAGAATTTATAGATGATCCTTTATTTATTCCTCATACAAGCTGCTTTACTGATCATATTAGTGAGATAGTATCAGTTGAACCTCATGGAGCTAGATTTTTTAAAGAAAATCCTGCACTTATCTATTTGCCAGTGAGAGGGAAGATAAATAACAAAGATAAAATTATATGTCTTTGCAGTAATACATCACGAGAATCCATACCACAATGGGAAAGGATTCCAGAAGAAAATTTTACTTTCAAATCTGGCAGGGTTATTATTAAAGCGCATCATTTCAGTTTATTTACAATAGTTGCAGAAAGATCTTTTCCCGAAGTTCATGTGGGAATTACTACATTAGGTGGCATGTTACAGATAGATGATGTTCCAGGAGTAGAGATAAACATTCCTCCTGGAGCTTTAGGTGAAAATGTCACAGTTGTTGTTCGAGTACTATATGATAATGAACCACGAAACCAATATTCACTTCATTCAAATTATAATACAAAAGCTTTAGCATCACCCATTATAATGGTTGGACCACATGGATGCCAGTTTAATACTTTATTTGATCCAGTGACAGTTCGTTTACCAATTCCACATTATCACCAGATTAAGTGCCATTTTGGGAAGAAAGCGCGATTGACTGTTTGGAGAAGTGCCACATCAGAAAATGAACCTCTGTACTGGGAAAGGTTAGATGTAGAAACTGTTATTGATTATAATCATGGTGGTTGTGTGACTATTTCCTTTCCAGTTGATCATTTTAGTTTCTTTAAAGTATTATGGGATGTATTAACTTCCTCTTTATATGAAGCAAAATTGGGTGTAGCATATTTTTATCCATATATTTCATTTTCAATGATGTGTCAGGCTTGGATGGAAGAAAATAAAGATAACCAAAGCTTTGGATTAGAAGTGATTTGCTATAGGAGTGATAAGAAACTACCAGAAGCTACAAACTATAAACACAAAGTTGGAAGCAGTTTAAAACCAAAACTTATAAGGCCAGGTAAGCATTGATTTAAATAGTTGTGCTATCAATAATCTTTTGTAATTTATAATTGTTATAAATTAAGAGTATTGAAATACTTTATTTCTCAATTCTAAGATATTCTATGAGTTATTGAAATTGAATTTTCTCTCATTTTTACTTTCTCAACTCTGTTATATTTAACGGGGAAAGTACGGTGATCAGTTAAAAAAGATTTCCACAAGATTTTTACATTTTTAGACTTGGACCTTGAAACGTCGAGAATGCAAAAAAAAATTTGGGGGGATTTTTTCTGATGTATGAATGTTAATGTGTGTGTGGGGCAGGATTTTATTCACCCTCTTTGAAGCTTAATAACTCCTGTGCTTTTTGTTGAAAATTTCTAAAATTTTGCAGGGATGTTTGTGATGTATATTGGGGATTGATGCTATTAAATTTTGATGGTTAAAGATGGGGAGAATTTGTCATTATCTCAAGTAGGGTCAAACTTAATGATGATTTTGCTTATTATTAGCATTTACAATTTTTTATAAAACCCATCCCTACTCTCAAAGTGAAGCTCTCTGTTATTTTATAATAATTAAAAACAAAAAGTTTTTAATAATATCATAACATATGGCATCACACACACAGTTTTAAATGTTGCCAGGAAAGTTAAGCAACTTGTTGCTGGATTTTTTTACATAGGAAAAGATTTTTAAATAATCAATTATATTAAGTTTCATTACATACAACAAATTAGAAAAACACTTTAGATACCATGCTCTATTTTCATGCTTTTCTGTATATACAAAATTTTTTTTTCATTCTATATTGTAAGGTCATTTTATAATTTATCACTAAAAATGATTGATAAAGTTTAAATGGTTTTGAGACATTGTTGTATATGAGTTGTTGTATTAACAAGATGGGTCATGCTGTAAGTTGTGTGCTCATATCAGTGCAATATACTTGCACCATGAATGACTGAAGTTTCTAGAAGCAGTTGAGTGAGCATTGTTCATTTTCACTCATAGTTAGTCTGTAGGCAATTATAAAAGAAGCATATGTGCTGTTGCTTTGCTGGAATGATGTCTAATGTTAAATTCATTCAACATATTAATCTCAAATTCCTTGCAAAATTGAAGAAATTGTTGACCAGCTGTTGGAAACTGTTGCAGGGGTATAGCGATAATGTGATGTCATGTGCGAGTGCTTGAATGACACACACTCATGATCTTATGCCCATTTACTGGCCTCACTGCTATGTCTTCCAGACAGCACATGGTGGCTCTAGAAACATACATATGCCAAATAGGCCATGTTCAGTTGCCACCAGGTGGTGGAACTTTGGAGAAAATAGCCTTATTGGCTGGAATTTCCATATAAATCATTATTATATGGAAATTCACTCATTATTCACTAAAGTAATATAATATTACATTTGAATACAGAATAATATAAGTGAACAGCAGTAGGTACATTGTAGATTCCATGCAGAGCTGCATATAGAAGTCAAAGTCCATAAATTACATACAGGATAAGGTAATATGATATATGCAAACAGCAAGAGTACATTGTAGATTCTATGCAGAACTGCAAGATAATGGATAAAATCCATGAAATCAAAGTGAAATAAAATTAAGTAATATTACATCTAAATAAGACTAAGTACTCGCATGACATCAACTTCACAGGACTACGTACAGAAAAAACAAATACAGAATAATGTTAATAAACAGCAAATACAATACAATGTAGGTTCCATACAGAACCTCGTAATTGTGGATAAAATGCACAAAATTTATAATTAAATAAAATTAATAACACTATAACAAGGAAAAACAACATACTTGCACGACAATAAATTGCGCACGTAAAATAGTAATTACAAAGCTAACACGATAAGTAGACAGTCTTTAAGTCAAAGTCAGTGTTAGCAGTAGATTAGTTGGCTTGTGATCTGATTGATCTTTTTTGCAAGTCTTTTAAAGGCAGAGAATATCTCTTGGTTGGTCCAGACATTTGAGAGGTGGCATGGCCAAGCTATGTTCAATTCCTGCAGGAGTAGCCACAGTTCAGTTCTTCTGTTTCAGTCATCATACAATCAAAAATGTAGTGTTGAGATCCATCTGCAATCATACAGGTTGGGCACTGATTTGATGTTCTGTTTAAAAATCTGGCAAGGTACGTAGCAAATTTTCCGTGATTTGTAAATAATTGAGTTGTGTAGTAATCAGGAGTGAACCATTTTATTTTAAAGAAGCTTTTTAAGTTGGGGACAAATTGAAACATGATACTTTGGTTACTATCATTCCAACAATGTTGCCAATGGTTAATAGCTTCCTCCCATAGTAAGCGTCACAAAGTGAGATGACTGATTTTATCATAGGAAAAAGAAATGGTGGAGTTTAGTGCTGCAGCCTTTGCAAGAGAGTCAGCCCTCTCATTTCCTGTGAGTCCCTAATGGGATCTAACCCAAGAAATACTGATATTACATGTTGAGTTTCTGATTGAATTCCTTATTTCCACTGCCAAAGGATGAAGCTTAGTGCTACAGATAATGTTAAGGGCAGAGAGTGAATCTGTGTAGATTTGAATATCATAATGTATTAAATTATCACTAACCCAATCAATGGTCTTTTGAATCGCCAAAAGTTCTAATTGGAAAACAGTACAGTTTGTATGGAGACGATAAGCTTGATTGTGTATCTCTAATAGTTTGTTGAAAACCACAAAGCTACTTCCTACTTTACCATCAATTTTAGAACCATCTGTAAATACAGTGATATCCAAATTTGAATAGTGGTCAAGTATATTCGAATTGAGAATATATGGGGATATAGTGTTACAAAAAGGATAAGGTTGTTCACATTCATCAGGTGTTATTATTATTGATCCTGCTTGGATTGAAACTCCCCATTTAGGTTGTTGTATTTTCTTCTTATGCAAAATTTCTATATCAATAGGTAACTTACATGCAATTACTTGGAGACTATTGTTACTTGCGGTACGGAAGGCTTTTGTCAATAAAAGGAGTGCATGTTCTTGAGAGGATACTAGCTTTCTCTTTGTATGTATTTTATTTACTGCACATCCCCAAGTACCACATCCATATGTGGTAACTGGGAGAAAGATACTGTCATAAATGGTGGAGAGAGCTTCGGATGAAAGCCCCCAATCTTTTTTGGCCACTTGTGAGAATGCTTGTATAATGAGGCCGGTTTGATTTGTTACATATTCAATATATTTTTCCCAGGAAAGTCTGAAATCTAGTATAACACCAAGATATTTTAGTGTTTTTTCGACCTTGATAGTTTTACCATTCATCTTCAGTAAAGGAGGTCTTGAGTAAATGTTGCCTTTTCTAGGTTTAATAAATACAATAGCCTTTGTTTTGGTTGTGTTAAAATGAAGTTTGTTTTATTCCCCATTCATATATATGGGTCAACATTAAATTACCCCTATTTTCAAGATCTCTTAATCTTCCACCAAGAAGCAGCAATGCATCGTCTGCATAAGTGGTACAATGAGTTTGTCCAAAGTCTTCCCTCAGGAAAGAATCAAACATAATATTCCAAAGCCAGGGGTCCACAAACAGACCCCTGTGGACAACCTCTTGAGATGTCCTTGTGTACCTCATGTTGACCGTATTGGAAAATTGCCTTTCTGTTCTTAAAGTAGTCAAGCAGGAATTTTAACAAATTACGGAGGCAGCTGATTCTTCGTAGTTGCTGAGTCACTAGGGGCCACCAGGCACTATCAAATGCCTAGCATGTGTATACAATGTAAAAATGTAAATAACAGTTACTCTGGTCTTACACAGTGTGGTGGACATATGTAAACTTCTATGCCTAGAAATTGGCAATTGCCAACTTGGTATAATATTCATACCCAGTTCTCTGTACCCACAGGTTGTAGTGGGCACATGCTTTCTCTTGTTTTGCAGCTTGACAAGTATTTGTAATGTAAATAATGTATATAACTGTTTCTAATCTTATACTTTGTTATTCAAAATTGGTATTCTCTATACAATACCAAACATGTTACCCTGTATCTGCAAGTCTAAAGGGGCAAAAGTCTATTTTCTGTCAGAAACTTGGCTATTTGCTGAGTTGTAAATGCTATTTATAACTGTTTCTACTTGTAAACTTTGTTATTTGGATCAATATACTCTGTCAAATAACCATATCAGCAAAGCAGTACCTGCAATTTTGGTGAACATATGTCTATTTTCTGTCCAGAAGCTTGGCAAAAGTCTGTATTGTATATAGCTGTACATAGTTGTTTTTCATATCCACAAGTGGTGGTGAGGGCGAGTTTCATGTCGCTTGGAAGTTCTTCAAGTTTTGTGTTCTCTATTGTATAATGTCCTTGTTGATGTTCAACATTTGTATACACTGTTTGTTTCCTGTTTATCTGTACCCACAAGTGGTAATGGGTTTTGCGCACAAATTTTGTATTCATGTTACACTTTGTATTCAATCTTTTGTTACATTTTGTTGGTTTTGATAAATAAAACAATGCAGACATGAGCCATCCCCCTTCATCCCCTTTTCTATCTTTCTTTATACTTTACCTTTGCCTCTTTTCTAAATATTACTTTTCTCTTTATTTCATACCTGGGCAATACCTCTGAGTAGTTCTGGGTCTCATCCGCTTGGCACTAGAAGTGTCAATAGAAGTGTGGTTCTAACCAACTGAAAGAGTAAGTGAGGATGAAGAGACACAATTTGTGCAGAATGATGCTTGGATTCTCCATCAGGACAGTGCTTCACCCCACAATGCATTGTCTGTAAAGCATTATCTGGCTGATAAAATCCCAGTGGTGCAGCATTCATCTTTTTTTAAGTATCTTTGAATTTTTTTAATCTCCAGAATACCAGATAAAAATTTCACAAAAATAAAAATATTTATTTTGTCAAAATATTAAAATTCTGAAGATAATGAAACTCAAAAATTACACAGAAAAAAAATTATAAATTTAACCAAAGTGAGTTTGAAATGTGAACAATGGTTTTTTTTTTTTTTTTTGTACATGATGTCCTTATGTTTGAGGATCTAGCTGATGAAGTCTAATTAGTTTAAGTGAAACTCCTTTTATTTGCACTTTTGTTTTGAAAAGAAAGTTAATGTTACTTAATAACATTGCAAGTGATTTTTAATTTCTAGCGATGAAATAATTGGAAAATATAAATATTTTTATTTATTAAGTATTATTTAAAGTTATAAATATTATGCAATATATATTATAATGTATGCAAAAAGTCTGTAATTGAAATGAATAAAATAGAAAATTGGTTTTTTTATTTTAGGATGCATTACTGTAAAATTGAAGTCCGAGTTGTTTGAGGCAAATGTGGATGCAGGAGAAGATTTATCACTATTGAAGATTGAGCCAGATTTTCGAGGAAGAGAATTTGAAAAACAGTTTGCTTGCAGGTAATGTTACAGATAAGCTTGAACTGAATATTTATTTTGTAGAAATATAAAATAGTTGTTTTATATGTTGTACTTAAATTTACAAAATAAGTTAATACTATAAATAAGACAATTCTATAAAAATGAAAAAATATAGTAGACCCCCTATAACACTGTAGATAATTCCGTGTTATATGAATTCCATATTGTACGAGTTGCTTAGATTTTACAAATATGTGAGCCGTTTACAGCCCGGCACGCATATTTGTAAAATCTAAGTGACTCGTACAACATGGAATTCATATAACACGGAATTATCAACAGTGTTATAGGGGAGTCTACTGTATATATTTGTACAGTCAGAACAATGTTAAGATCACAAGAGTGCTGGATTGTGGATGCCCACAGGGCTCGAACTCTGGTCCACTATTTTGGAACCTGGCATACAACCAATTTCTGTGTATTGAGAAAGGACCAGGTATACTAGAAATAGTATACCTGGTCCTTTCTCAATGCCAAAAAAACGAGGGCAATTATTTTTACAAAAGGTCGTACACCGGACCTTTACAAGAGAACTCCCATGATAAAAATGGGAAATGAAACCATTAGGGTGGATAAACAATTGCAATACCTTGGTATCATCCTTGATAACAGACTTACCTGGCTCCCACACACAATCTCAACAAGAAACAAGTGCATCAACTTGTTTAATGCCCTAGCTCGTGTTGCTAGATCAACTTGGGGACTTAATAGTGAAGCAATCGAAATAATATATAAAGGAGCGCTCATACCAAGGCTGACCTATGCAGCGGCGGCCTGGTATTACNGGTGGAACACCTGAAGAATTTGTTCAATCGTTATACGAAGTAAGTCGATCAATTAGAATTCAGATGACTTCAACTAGAAGTGGAAGCGGATCACCTGGAGGAAGTAGCAGTGGAGCTTCAACTTCAAGAAAATGGTTATGGAATTTTAGTCCTACTAAATGGAGAGAAAAAGACGATTCTGATACTTCTGGTAATTTAATTATATTTTAGTTTTTGTTTATTTAGTTACATACAGTTATTTGTAATTTTATTTTTATAATTGATAGTGACAGAAACTAGTGTTAGTTCTCGCAAAAGATCAAATCCGAGCGGATCTAGTGGAAATAGTGCCAAAAAGAGACGAAGGCGTTTTTCAGACGTTTCGGAAACTATGTCCAGTTCAGAAGAATCTGTTGGAACCGAAGAAAATAGGAGAAATGAAAATAAACTGAACGACACAGATATGTGGAACATTTCATCATTAATGAATACAATGAATTGGCGTGCTTTAGGAAGAACCTTAGGGTTGGAAGAAAGTGTTCTGTTAAATATAGAGCATGCCTATAAAGCCACCGGCTTTAGAGAATGTGCCTATCAAATGTTGTTAGAATGGAAAGGACGTCAACCTCAAAAATGTACGTTTGGTACCTTGTATACGTCACTGTGCAAAGAAAACATGAATGGTATTGCCAAACAGTTGAGCGTCATGAAATTAGGAAATCAGGAGTAGTTTCAAATTATATGTATAATTTTCATATTGTTATTTTGTATAGCAGAAATTTTCATAAAATTAGATTATCATTTTAAAATATATTTTTGTAAATAAGTTTTTATATCTTTGTTACCTGAAAATCAATTCCAACATTGCATACCGAAAATGACGGAACTCCTGACATTCACAGTGATTCAGTCAGATAAATTATTGTTCATAATCATGAAAAATTTTTTAATAATCATTTAAGAAAAGATTATTAAATTGATAATATCAATATATATCATATAACATATATAATCATTTATTGTGTATCATTTTCAGTTGCTCACGGAAAATACATTTATTGTTGAGTTAACTTTTTTTTAAATATGTACTAAGTTAATGTTATTCATGTTACATTTTAACTTTGACCAGGAAATTTTCAGATTCATTGAATTTGAAGATTATTGTAATCTCTTTTTAATACCAATGTACAGAAGTATTGTGCAATGCCAGAAGAACAAAGTGATACCGAAGAATTTTTAATGAATACCTGATTAAATTTTAAATATATATCATTTAATTTTATGGCAATATTTGTCTCATTTCTGCTGAAAAAGACTGGACAAAATTGACTGTAACTTAACTCTATTATATGAAACCTGTACAATTTTGAAGAAGTTTATAAGAATTAATTTAATTCTTGTTATTAATAAAAAAATTATTATTTAAGTTCTGTTTTTGTAATTTGATTTCAACAACAAGGTTATTATTTTGTTTTATTATTTGATTTAAGTAAAACATTAATTTAACTATGCATATTTTTTTTTTAGGTTTAGACAAGGGAAGCCTAATGTTGAAAGAGGAACATTTGGGAAAGTTATAGTTGAAAGGAAACCCAAAGAAGGACCAAATGAACCACTCTTTGAATTTAATTTACATAAAGTATGTTTATAATAATTTATTAAAATGTTTAAATATAATGATGATAAATTTTTTGATATTTTAATAAATTTTTATGTTTATGTTAGAGTGGTGTTGAAAATGAAACATTTCCTCCTGATTCAACTGATCGTTGGTCTGTTGTGGCAATTAAAGAACTAGCAGGTATTTTTGACTTTTAAAAAAATTTACTTTATACTATAAGTTTAATAGATGTCAACTAGTATGAAATAAAGTAAAATAACAGTTATGCAACATGCTATATCTTTGTAAAAAATATTAGTGGAAATATTTATTGAAATCGTTATATGATAAAATCTGAGAAAGCAGAAATTTGTTGTTGTTTTGGCATTACCATCAAATTTTTCTCATAAAATGTTCTATCTAAGGAGGACATGTGAGACATGGAAGGAAAGCTGTATGTGCTATACCAGTGGTTCCCAAAGTGTGAGTTGTGAACCATATTTTGAAAAGAGTTTTGATTGGTTGCAAGAGATTTACACAATAAAACCATATTAACATACATTTATTTTATATTTACTACAAAAGATCAGTGTAAAATGTGCTAATTTTTCAGAAACTATCTTCTCAACTTTGGGCTCTGTATTCAAAACACACACTCTGTTCACTCATATTAGACCCTGATTTAGGCAGTAACTTGTTCAAGTATTGAATTGAAAAACTATAAACATCAAGAATGAAATAAAAGCCATCAATATTTATTTTATTTATAAACTGAAATATTTTGGAAACAGTGTAGTTAAATAATAATATGAATAACAATAAAGAGTTCATAAATTGTGTTATGTAATAAATGATCCTACTGTTTATGTTTCTCATTTATGTTTCTCATTTCTGCTGAAAAAGACTGGACAAAATTGACTGTAACTTACGGTTACCATACTAGTTCTCATTCTTGCCTTTTCACACAAGAGTTATGAGACCCATTTATTAGTAATTCAAGTGGTTACAGTTTTAAAAAATGTATAAAAAGAAACTAGTTAAAATTAAATAATAGACATTCAAACAGTAATAAATTTACAAAACATAAATATGAGTAAACTACAAAAAAAAATATCTACAGGGATAAGTGCTTTAAGTTAAACAACATAGCAATATAAAATTACAGTTAATACACTTGATATGGAACAATAAAGTGAGTAATCTTGAATATGTTCATTAAATTTTACAACAAATTTAGATTTAAACATTTTTCAGTCTTTCACTTGTCAGTGAAGAGTATCCTCCATTTTTTGATTGAGCTAGTGACTAGAGTGAATGTCATAATGAGTGTCTTCTATTGGCTACACTTTGATAGAAAATATTTTTATGTTTAAAAAGCAAAAACTTGCTCTACTCAATTTTTTATTCAGTTTTGACAGAAACTAGTTTTGAGAATTATTTTATGGAGAATCTATTATATTAAAATTAAGTTTTTAATTATAACTTCAAAATTATCTATACTAATATTATAAAGAGGTAAAGTTTGTAAGTTTGGATGTAGGAGGTAATCTCCGAAACTACTCATCCAATTTAAAAAACTTCTTTCACCAATATTTAGAATGGACCTCCAGGGTGGACATAAGCTGTATATTATTCCGTTAAACATTCATATAAATTAAAAGATATCATCTAGGATTAAGGCTTTTATGTCCAACAGATGGCGTTAACTCCACGAGTACAACAACCTGTTTGCTTTTCTGTGAGGATGAACTAAAGCAGATCATCTATCTATCTATATAAATAAAAATGTAATGTTCATTTGTTCCTACTGATTGCTTTGAAATTTTGACACAATGTTGCATTCGAATATGCAAGTGTTTTTATATAATATACATGTCAAAATTCCCCCCACTGGGGGGAGATGGACAGGATTAAGGCTTACAGTGAAGAACTTTGCTTCTATTTATGCTATTTTAGATGTGGTTTTTTGCGTTTTTGATTGCATTTTAATAGAGTACGTCAAGAGAATGTACACTAAAAAGGGATTTTTCGAAAAATTCCCCCTACGGGGGAAGTGTTATATATTTATAATAGATACATTTTGAGCCACAACAACATGTGGCGGGGTCTGCTTGTGTTATATAATTTGCTTTACAAAACTAGATTGTATTTAGCAGCAAAATTTGCCTTAAAGAATCATAAATAACACCAGTAACTAATCATGGATGTTAAGACTAACATTTTCAATTTTATCCACAGATCTTTAAGTCAAGGTTTTGATTTAATAGCGAGGTTGAGGCTGAAGGTTTAAACATCAAAATGTGTACGTTGGACGTTCAGCGACGCTTTTCTGTAAACCTAGAAGTTTGACAATGGTGTTTGGATAGTCAGTGGAATCATGCTCGACATTCCAAACACCATTGTCAAACTTCTAAGCTTACAGGAAAGTGGCACCAAATGTCCAACGTACATGTTTTCACGTTTTAAACTTCGGTCTCAACCTTGCTAATGCTTTTCAAATATCACTGAAATCAATACATGTCAAATATTGTTGCATTTTCAAATGTACTTATAAATGTAAATTTGGTGTGAGGCATCAGTATCACAAAATTAATTGATAATATGCACAAAACTATAATTAAATTGAGCAGTTGAGTGTTTAAATTTATAAACACGTTAAAAAATGTAATGATATTCGAAACACATCAATTTCAACAATATTTGAAAAGCATTCTGATTCAAAACCTTTGACCTGAACTTTGTGGTTAAGATCAAAAACGTTTGTCCTACTCTATGATTAGTTACTGGAGTTATTTATGGTTCTTTAAGGTGTTTTTTGGTGCTATATTCTTACACTCCAGTCTAAAGAACTGTTGTGAGTGCTAAATTTGATAATGTTTGAATTAAGATTTGATTAAAGAAATTATTTATTCTATACATTTGATTTATCGTTCAATTACCTAATTTAACTCTGTAACCTTGATTTTGATTTGTGTGTTACTAGCGTAATAAATTGATGGTACTATTAAGGTGTTAAATAATTTCATTTGTAGTTTTGAATTCATAATTTTTAATGATGAGCATAAATAAATAGAATTATTTATTAAAGTATTTATTTTTGTAGTGAGATTTTTCAAGTGCAGTTGAAAATTTCAATTCCAGTTAAATGTTATGCCTAAATATTTTATATCATCTACTAAGAGAAGAGTTTGGCCATTTAAGAAGAATGATTTCTCTTGACAGATTTACGTGATTTATAAATATAATTATTTTAGATTTTGGCACATTGATCGTTAGATATAAAGAATTCAAGTAATTAATTACTGTAATTATTTTACGTTGTAAGGCTATTCTTGTTGGAGCTAGTAATACTAAGTCATCAGCATGTAGAATATAGTGGTAGATTCGTCCAGAAGTCTGAATTCCTTTTGTATCATTCAGAAATAATTTATCCATATCATTTATGTAGAAATTAAATAATAGGTAAATTATTAATGGTAGTAAATCTTTTGAAGTAGAGTGACCAGGTTGATCTTTAGAATCTTTTCTATGTAAACTTTGTACTGTTGACCAGAATAGAGTGTTATTTTTATTTATAATTAACTGATTTTCTAGATATTTAAAATATTTTATCTTCTTAGATTTTAATAAGTTGTAATATATTGTTTTGATTTTTTTGTAGTTAATAAGATTTGCTTCTGAAGATATTCTCCTAAATTGCATTAGAGCTTTATTTTTCTTTAATTTTAAGGTATAACAGTCAAAGTCGTATCACGGCTTTTTAAATTAATAAGATTTTTTATTCTTTAACTTCTTTATATTTATAAATTTTTTAATTATATCTTCCAGTTGGGATATATTTCAGTTCCATTCTCTAGTACGATTTTAGGTAAATTTTTGATTATATCGCTAATTTGTAATTGAAATTGCTGGTAATCATTGATTATTTTTTGATGAGGTAGAGGATTTGTTTTTATGTACTTAGTTATTTGCAACTTCAAGGATAGTCTTAACAGGAAAATGATCAGCTAGGTCACAGTTTAATACTTGTATATTGACACACAGATCTAACGGCATTTCAGAACATAACCTCAAATCAATCACCAAACTTCCAGTATTAGTAACACAGGTGAATTCTGATGGATAATCTTTTCCCAATCTTCCATTTAAAATAAATAGTTGCATTTGATGAGTTTGTTTTAGTAATTGAAGACCCAGTTTATTATGTTTTTTGTCTTTTGATTCTTGTTTATTCTGAATTAAGATATTTGGTCCTCTGTATTCTGAATCCATAATTTGAGCAATTTGGGAATTAAAATATCCTGATATAAGTACTGTACTTGGATGATACTTTTCCATCTATCAAGGTTTTTGAATATTTCATTTATTAAGTCTATATGATCCAGCAGAATGTATACTAGCATAATTGTGATGAACTTTTTATCTAAGTATTTAATTTCTGTATTTGTAATTTGTAACAAGATTATTATATAATTATTAGTTTTTTGAATAAATTTTACAGAACCAATTTTTTTCTTTAAAATTAGACATAGTCTGCCATAAGGTCATTTTAGACCTTCTGGTTTGTGTGCAGCTGATAATATAATAGTATATTCTTCTTTATTTTTTTTTAATTATTTCTTTAGTTGGAGAGACTATCTATGTTTCGGTTATACCCAGAATGTTGGAATTATTTAGCAATTGTAAGAATTCATTAGTTGTTATTTTACTTATTAAGCCTTGATAGTTTCAATTTGTAATATTTAAATGAAGATTTTTTGAAAATTTATTATAGTTGTTATATTTTCTTTCTCTTCCTGGATAAAATATGTTGTTAGATTTTTCTGAAGGATATAAGAAAAACCTTCAGCATATACTAATTGATTCTGAATACAGAGGGCTGATCGCATTACATTAAGAGGCCTATGCCAAGAGGCCTATAAAAGTAATTTAAATACCGTGGCACCAGTTTTGATTATGCACAATCTGATGGCCATGTTGTGAAACTATAGCCCTACATCAGAGTTTCCACTGTAGATGATTTATTTGAAGAACATTCATGTCCAAACACTCCCATCAAACAATGACAGGCTTTCCATAAGCATGTCATTGTTTTTGGACGATGGCTTACCAGAGCTCGTTTCAATAGGCCAAATGCACAGTAGTCCACTGGAGTCGTGTAGGGTGACTTCACAGGAATGTCATCAAAAGGGATGGTATGGGTTCCCATTTCCTGTTCCAATACATGGATAAAATCTTGGGTCGATTTGGAGGTATGACTGGAAGCTGTCTTGATGCACCTATACATTTGTTTGGTCATTTCTGTACAAAGTAGGGATCTCTTCACAGTATAGAGATTCCAGAATGTTATTCTAGTAGTATGTCAAATTAATTTTAATGTTTTTTTTCAACTTTTCTGATGTTTAGTTTACCACAATAACAATAACCTGCAATGACCATAAAGCCTGACAGAAAAACATTTTGTGACATTCTTGAACCATTTTTGCTATGGTCTCCCATCTGATGGTCTGTAGTAAATTGCCCGTAATTTGTTACAATTGTTCATGTACATCCATGTTTCATCTAGCATGACTACAAACTGCCACTTGTTTACCGAAAGATACTTTTCGTAGCAGTTGGTCTTTTGTTCTTGGATGTGATGAGACAACAGCCTGTGAACTCGATCTTTATGTTTCAAATTCTTGTGAATTTGAAACATAAAGTTTCTCCTGTTTCAAATTCTTGTGAATGATGGCATGAACTATGGACTGGGCTATTCCAATACTCTGGGCAATACTTTGTTGAGTTTTTGGATTTGAACCACTGATCAGTCATCGCACTTTTGCTATCACCTCTGGTGTGCCGTTTCTTTTTCTGGGCCGAATTGAAACATTTGACAACGGTCCTAGCTCTTGCAAATCATTTCTTTTAAGAACTGACTGTATCCTATATCGTAAAACATTAAAACCACAATTTTTGCACATTTTAATTAATAATTTGAGTTTGCAAATATTTTGCTTCAGAAAGAGTAGTTACATAACCTGCCCAAAAGTCTGAAATTTTAAGTGGCATATTTGTGATAGATAAACCTTACTTATCAAAAGTAAAACTCAGAATATACAGCAGCACGTGAGCCAGTTGCTTTTATTCTATTTCCTACATCTGGAACTATGGGTAATATACAAATTGGCATTATGGAACACGATCAACCTTCTGTATACCTGTAGGTATTTTGATGATTTATTAATAGATAGATTTAATTGTATTCCTTGTTTTTTTAAGTCATGATAATATGGTAAAAGTAACTTTCTTCTCTTGCAGGAATTTTTGACTAGGTCAACTGACATATTTATATCTTACCACTCTCCTAGCAATTTTTTTTTTGTTTCAACTGCAAGGATTCTGTTTCTCAATTGGTCCAATTTCAATACTATATGTTTAATATTAATATTTGAATGGGGTATTGAATATATATATTTTATATCTTCTGATTTGCTACATAATATTTTTAAAGAATTTGAGAAAAAAGCTGATAATTCTTTTTGGGTTATTCCTTTAACTTATTTGAATAATCATATTATTATTATTCGTATTATTAGAAAGTGAGTCAAGCTTATATTGAGTTAGTTCCTTATCAAGACATAGTTTAGTTAGTTCAGATTCCATTTTTTCATTTCTTTCATTAGCCAGTTATAATTGCTTTTTAAAATCTTTTATTTTGTTTTGAATAGTGTTAATTTCTTCTCAAATTTATGAAAACTAATTTGACACACCAGTTTATCATTACTGGTGGTTATTAGATCAACTATTTTAAGTCATAAGTTTGCTGTTGAGATGTCTGATGATTCTGTATATAATAGTTCAAGCGAGGAATTTAAATTTAATTTCTCACCTGTTTGCGATAATAGTTCAGTTCTTCTAGCTTCTGTATATTCGGTAATAGGATTCATTTCCAATTCTATTGATTTTGCATTATTAGTCAATAGCTTTTGATGATTTAGAGGTGGTCTACTTCTCTTTATTGGAGTTTTTGTAAAGGTCTAGGATTCAGTTCTGTTCCAGAAATTAATAGCAGCAATAGGATAAACTTACTATTATTCATATTAGTCAAATATAAGTTAGCACTTTTCATCTATTAGTAATTACACAAACTTTGAAGGTGAAGAAAAATTGACAGCAGCAGCAATGGTTGTCGGAGCACCCCGCACAATATATTCAGATATATATGTGATCTATAAAACAAAAAAAAATTCACCTGAACATTTTATAAATTTATTACTTTATACACATTTTTTTCACAGATTTTATATGAAACATTTTTATTACAATTAACTTTTTATTAGGAACTTTGCACATCACTGAAGATAACAATTGGAAGAAGTTTGCTCGTCACATTGGTTTTACAAAAAACGAAATACAGACAAAATTAGCTTATTCAGCAGATCCCTTTCTTGCTATGGTAAATTTATACCAGACTCGTGGTGGAACACCTGAAGAATTTGTTCAATCGTTATACGAAGTAAGTCGATCAATTAGAATTCAGATGACTTCAACTAGAAGTGGAAGCGGATCACCTGGAGGAAGTAGCAGTGGAGCTTCAACTTCAAGAAAATGGTTATGGAATTTTAGTCCTACTAAATGGAGAGAAAAAGACGATTCTGATACTTCTGGTAATTTAATTATATTTTAGTTTTTGTTTATTTAGTTACATACAGTTATTTGTAATTTTATTTTTATAATTGATAGTGACAGAAACTAGTGTTAGTTCTCGCAAAAGATCAAATCCGAGCGGATCTAGTGGAAATAGTGCCAAAAAGAGACGAAGGCGTTTTTCAGACGTTTCGGAAACTATGTCCAGTTCAGAAGAATCTGTTGGAACCGAAGAAAATAGGAGAAATGAAAATAAACTGAACGACACAGATATGTGGAACATTTCATCATTAATGAATACAATGAATTGGCGTGCTTTAGGAAGAACCTTAGGGTTGGAAGAAAGTGTTCTGTTAAATATAGAGCATGCCTATAAAGCCACCGGCTTTAGAGAATGTGCCTATCAAATGTTGTTAGAATGGAAAGGACGTCAACCTCAAAAATGTACGTTTGGTACCTTGTATACGTCACTGTGCAAAGAAAACATGAATGGTATTGCCAAACAGTTGAGCGTCATGAAATTAGGAAATCAGGAGTAGTTTCAAATTATATGTATAATTTTCATATTGTTATTTTGTATAGCAGAAATTTTCATAAAATTAGATTATCATTTTAAAATATATTTTTGTAAATAAGTTTTTATATCTTTGTTACCTGAAAATCAATTCCAACATTGCATACCGAAAATGACGGAACTCCTGACATTCACAGTGATTCAGTCAGATAAATTATTGTTCATAATCATGAAAAATTTTTTAATAATCATTTAAGAAAAGATTATTAAATTGATAATATCAATATATATCATATAACATATATAATCATTTATTGTGTATCATTTTCAGTTGCTCACGGAAAATACATTTATTGTTGAGTTAACTTTTTTTTAAATATGTACTAAGTTAATGTTATTCATGTTACATTTTAACTTTGACCAGGAAATTTTCAGATTCATTGAATTTGAAGATTATTGTAATCTCTTTTTAATACCAATGTACAGAAGTATTGTGCAATGCCAGAAGAACAAAGTGATACCGAAGAATTTTTAATGAATACCTGATTAAATTTTAAATATATATCATTTAATTTTATGGCAATATTTGTAAATAATTTTGTATTATATTTCATTTTCATTTTATTGCTTCAATATATTTTTAAATAAAAATTTAAATTTTGATAATCTGTTTGACTAATTTGCTTTTATAGTTTTTTTTTCATGTATATTCAGCAAATTATCTTAAGTTGTGATGTTTTTATAAAGACAAGCATTATACATTTTTATAAATTTTATATTGAATTTTTTAAATTAAATTCTCTCTTTAGAATTTAATTTAATAAAGTAGCATGTTTAGAATGCTTTGCTCAAGGTAGTCTTTGGTGTAACAGTTCAACTGCATTATTGTTGTCAGTTTTCAGGAAATCAGTACCTGTAACTGGGTACTGTCCTTGATTTTTTAAATTTATCTATTAAAAATACTGGTTTATGACCGTGTCCTACTTTTTTAATTTATTTGTTATCATAATTTATTTTTATATATTTACAATTTTTTATGGTTTGCATTTTAAATTCTGTACAAAGAAATCTTATTAGATTGAATCGTTTAAATAAATATAAGTTCATAAAGGAAACGTTAAATCGTTTCGTCTTATTGTAAATTTGGTCACTTTCTTTTTGAATCAATTTATATTCTAAGAATTACTTGTCTCGAGTTCTTTTTCAATGCAAATTGGACGTATACAATATGAGAATGAGAATTTTATCTATCTATGGTTTATATGGAGTGTGCAGCTCCTCTGGCTATAACTCCGAGAGAGCGATGGCGCTTACATCCATTTATCTGCTTGGCCTTACGTGAGAACGGAGGAATAATGCCTTCCGGGAGGTCTTTAAGTGTAACTGACCCCTATTTAGGCGTTAAAAACCCGGAAAACTCCACTCGGCCAGCCCATCGGGCGAGGCGCGAACTCTTTACTGTCTGTAGTGAAATTTTTTTTGGTTTACGTTTTGCCAATAAATCTAATAATTCGGCTTTTAAATTTCTCTCAAAATCATTTTCTGTGAAATGATCAGAGCAAACATAACAAGGATCGAGATTAAATTTGTCTTTTCTTTTATAATTATGATTCCATTTTCATCTTATTATTGGATCTTTAGAAAATCTAAAATAACTAAATTTCCTGTTTAATAACTTTGTTTTATAATAGCTGTTATTACAGTTGCAACAGCACATGTTGTTTCTGGCATCTAAAAATAATAATAATAAAACTTAGCTATGTTATTTTTTTATTTTCTCAAATAAATTTAATCAAGATATAATATTCTGAAGTAGAAAAAAGTAGTACAGTATTAACATTTCTTACATAAAAATTATTATACAAATAAATAACACTACAATAAATTTATACTATATATAAACATTTTTATATTTTGCATTTCTATGCATTTTACGTAAATATGCGTATTTTAAAAAGTTATATTAATTAATAATAATTATTTTTTACATCTCGAGTTATTTTAAAAGTATTATCGTCCTGTTATGTGCCAGCTTATTATTTGCTATTATTTGTATATTCTAGGACCTTGCTTTCATCCTATGTTAGATTCAGTATAACATAATTAATTTATTTTATTACGTATTTTTAGCAGTATTATAAAATATATATGTTGCAGTCAAAACCCGTTTTAACAAGTTGAAACTAGTTTATACTGGATGTCTTTGTTAAAACCAGTTTTGTCTAGTTAATTTACTGCTGTACATGTTTTGATTTTAGATGAAACTAGTTTTAACTTTTAACATTAGTTAACACTAATTTTAGCTACATAAATATGTTTGGGGGAAATAAATAAACTTATGTATTCGGCGGAAGATGCCTAACATTTTGCTTATGAAGNCTGTTTAAAATAGGCGAAATATCTTTAATGTTGCGGATTTTCAAAGAAACGGATTGATTGGGAGAAAGATTTCATTGGAAGTCATAAAATAGCTCTTAGAAAACTGAAATAGTAACGTCCAACATAATCAAGTATTAAGGTACTTTATAAATAATGATTGTTTCCGTGATGCGAAAATATCTTATCATTCCCATTTGAAGTTATCGTGAATTTATTGTAGGCCATAACGAAAATAAAGCATGAAGCTTACAATCGTTTAGAATTAACGAATTACAAGTCCCTATTATTACTTCGCAATAATAAGAGATGGAACTGACTCATTCCCTCACTTGAAAGAATAAGGTGTATTGTTTCTAATGCAAGGTTCTTTCATACCAAATCTTAATATCGTCACATTAATTCAAATTTACATAAAAATCGACGAAAAAACGCTAATTAATAAAAACGACTTTTATTAAATAATGAATTTCACTAAATTTATAGGATTATTTTTAAAACCCGATAACACTGATGTCGATTAATCGGATCGTAACGAACTAGACGACAATAGATGCAAACCGAAGCGACGCGTATAGATTTGTTCTGAAATTATTATTAAATACAGTATATAAAAATATTGATATAATATAATTAATTTATTTGAAATTTTAATAAATAAAAATCAATTATAAATCTAAAAGGCGATTACATACGGAAATATTATTTTTTAATCAATTACATGTGTAATAAATGAGAACACGTTTTTTTATGTATTTTAAGTAACACTATTAAATTTCAAATTGTGACATTAAAGCATTCTTCGCCCATAGAAAAAAAATAAACAATCCTATAAAATATTTTAAGTTTAATTATTAATTTACATGTCTTTGATGTCTTATATTTAATTTTTGAATAGAAAACTTAAACTAGAATTTGGAAAAATGGTAAGTAAATTTACAGTATGAAAGTCATTTTGAAAAGAAAATTTATTAATATTATATTATTAATTCATTGAATATATAAGAAAAATGTCCTGATAATAGATACTTTTCATAATAAACTGTTTTATATTCAACACATCAATATAATATCATTAATAGAATGGAACAAAGAATGTATATTGAAAACAATAAGTCAGTATAATAAAATACATCTACATTTATGTATTGATACACAGTACATTATCATTACATATTGATAAAGAAAAAATTATCTTAAAATTGTTTAATAATAGATCATTCAACTAAATGATTGATTAATCATCTGTTAACTTTAAATCTTGTAATTAAAATACATTACAATTGTTCTAATTGCAAATTATATGCATGCGTAACAAATTTTGTATTGTTTATTTAAATAATGTGATGTAAATATTAAAATCAGTATAAATGTTAAATTTTATTAATTCCTTTATTTTTATTACCGTTGCCTTTGATTTTACTTTAACAGATTAAAAAGATATAAATTATTTACGTTAAATAAGCAATAAGGGTATAAGTAGTAGTGATGAGTGATTCACTCTTTTAAATCTATTCGAGTTGTTATAAATTGTTTCGGTAAAGAAGATTTTGAGTAACTTTTAAAAATTTATATTGACTTGCAGAATATGATTTTAAACTTTTTGATATCAGAATTGTATAAACTGATTGATTTTTGCTTTTATGTAAGCTTCGTGCAAGAATAGATTACGTTCGGTACAGTACATACTAGGTGATAATTAAATTTGATGACTGTTGTATTATTTACATTATCAAATCTTTTGATATGAAAATATTTTTACTTTCATTGTCGTGCCACATTATCTTTTAATATTAATGTTTTCATATATTTTTATTTTATGAATGTTGAATGTGATGACTTGATTTAATTGCTATTCTTTTATTTTAATTGTTTTATGATAACATATTGTTCTGTTATATTGCTTTTACAACAAGACTGATAAAGAAAATCAATTGCTAAACTTAAAAAAAATTGATTATAAACAAATCTGTCACTTTAAATTAGAGCTTAAAATAGAAACTTTAATAATATAAAATTTTGAATAATTTTATATACAGTATTTCATGTTTTACAGTTTATATAAAATCATAACACTATTATATAATAAAATTTTATATTTATTTATTAATAATTGTTTTTATTGAAATAATAAAAAGAGATTTCTAATTTGATAAGTTTTAATGAAAATTTCTATTGTAATCAATTGCATAATTGACCAGAAGTGAGGTATCTAGATTTAACTTTAACAACTTAAAATATTTAAGTAAAATCATAAGTGAAAATGCTAATCATTATCATTCATTCATTCTCTGATTGTGTTACAAATTGATAATATTCATGGTGGTTAACATTGAGAAATATAATTCCATATATGTTGAAATCTTCCTAAAAATCAATCCTAAAATATATTGATATAAATCTTCTTAATAGCTATATGTTATTTGCTATAAATTTTAAGGATTTATCACATCACAGTTTTTAATTGGAAAGCTCACTGAGATTTCTAATTGAAAACTGTGGTGTGATAAGCCTCTGTTTTAAGTCTTGGTGCCGCTACAAGACTTTTAAAACAGGGGCTTAAAGAACATAAGTATTCTATTACTAAAAACATGGACAGCACCATCCTTGCAGCCTTCGCTAAACATCAAGATATTAATGTACATTGGGACAAAGCATCCATAATTAGGACAGCCACCAACAAACAAGTACTTAAACATATTGAAAAACTTGAAATTTACAAGGCCCATATTAACAAAGGATGCATCAACCATAGAGATGCAGAAAGTCTATCTTTTGCATGGAAATTTTTTTACCATGACGATTAATTTTCTTAATACTTTATTTAATTTAATTCTTTACCACGATTAATTNCGTTTCGCACCCGATATATACCCAGTTCATGCAAATGCTATTTTTTAATTCGAGTTTTTATTGTCACAACATAATCCTTTTCAATGATAATAAGTAACTAAAATTGCTGTAAAAAACAATAATTCTCTTACCTGATCTACTTTTTAAACACAAAAAACTGAACTAGTAAAAATGCAAAAATATTATACTGATACAGATATATATCTGATTCACTGATTTAAACACAGCACAACCACTCGCTACTTATAGAGACAAACTAACGTTAAAATCAAATATTTTCAATAATTTAAGGTCAAAGCAGAACTATCAACAGGTTACACGTGCAATTGTCTTTTATGATAATTGCTGCCTCATCTTTTAGGAGAGTCGCGCGGTATATTACAAACAAAAACAATAGCTTTGCGCTGTCTTGTCAAAAGCCTTTTGACTGCCGCTCTCCAACAATGCATTTGCACCATAAACCGAAATCAAAGGGTACCGAAAGCACTTAGCAGAGGCGCGTGATAAATTATTAACCTCCGATTGATCCCCACTTGTTGCTAGGGACGAATTTGGGTCGTAGTGGAGGTTGGCACTCCTTTCAATCCCAAAATGCTTAATTGAAACTTTTCCGTAGTTAAAAATAATGTGTTTTTCTTTCCATTTCCAAGAGGTTGCAGCTGTAGTTAAAAGGGTTCAAACTGCACTCCTGCGATAATTCAAACGTAATAAAATATTTTCTCTTTGTTTAACTTACACCCATCGGGGGTAGGAAGTCGAAATCTTCCGATTTATGTTTTAACCATGTCATTTATACTTAAATGAATACTATTAATTTGTTTATAGATCTGATTAAATTAAAGACGAAAGTTATAGGCCTACATCATTTAGTTTGCGTCAATTTTTCCTAATATTAGTGTCTCTAGGATGTTAAACGATATAACCTACACTGCTGCAACAGGACACATAAACACACTAATATACAGTAATAGCCTTGCACAAATATCAGTTTTGTTTTGTTCAAGCCAATAAATCCTAGATAAAGACAAGCTGCCCTAAAAGGCTTTAAAATGACAAAAAGCTCCAGAAAAGCAACCTGTTTTTTGTTACAGGTGGATATTTGAAGTTTCAAAATATTCAAGTTATCCCATCATTTAATTGATGTCATAATCATGTTAAAAATGAAAAACAAATGCAACTTACACAAACAAAACTGCATCATCAATGTAGTCAATTCAATGTTAATCTGTCAAGAAACATTTCTGTATGATCATCTTCGGCTTTATATGAATGATCTTGATACAAAGCTGAAGATGATTTTACAAGAATAAAACACACTTCATAATTACATTAAGCAGTTCTGTTTGTATAAATGGTGAACAAACAAATATATCTTTCATTTAATTATCAATTTAATATATTGGTTAGGATAGCCTTAAAATTTGAATATTTGTATTCAATATTGTAAATATTCAAATTTTAAGGAAGTTCAAACTAAATTTAAACTTCAAACTTCATTTTTGATATTTGTATTCTAAGGAATATTTTAAAACTAAATTAGAAAAGTACTTCTCTAAATATGTCAATTACTGTAAATTATTATGTTTTTTATAAGTAACTCAATCTTTTTGGATAAATAGATGTTGCTTACTTTAAAATACTGTGCATTTGTTATTTTTTGCCATTTCTAAATATAAATTTCAGCTTTATTAAAATATAACTTCTAACATTCTATCAGGATCAAATCTATAATAAATCATTCTTGATATTTACTTATGTATTATTTAAACTGCTGATAAATTTTTATTAGAGATATCACCAAACATATACAAATGTATCAGTAAATTTTCATTGTTTCTAATTTAATATGGAATTTTTGTTCAAATGATCAGTTTTAATTACTTAAAATAGAAACATTAACATATATTAAGACTTAATTTTCAAATAATTTACTATTCCTTACATATATCAGTAATAGACGTATTTTCATTGCTACAGACAATAACACACATTATCCAGCTTCTAAATGTTTATATGACTATTAGCTAAAAATTCCAATTCTTTGTCCTCACTTTTTTATGACAAGTGTTTCCTAACTTGAAATAAGAAAAACTTATTTTAGAAAACATAATTTATAAAATGAAATAATTAAAAAATTTTTATCAACTATTTTTGTCTGTCTTTTCAAAAACTATTCTAAAGATTGAATTATCAAAAAAGTTAGATCCTAATATATAAATTATTTGGAAATGGAATTCAAATTTCTTACAAACTGCAAATATAGCCCATTGTATATTTCTTTTTATTACATTAACATAAAAGATTAACAGCTATTCTATCCATAGACTATTACTTTCAGTTAAAATGTAAATAGTAGATTCCTTCTGCTTGTATATCCTAATTGGTCTCTCTGAAAAAAACAATCATGTAAAAGAAACTCTGATTTTCTCTAGATTTTGAATTATATATTGAGATTTTATTTCATTTCTAGAAATTTAAACTATACAGCATACCATAAAGTTTTTAATTGTAGCAAAATTTATACCGTTAATAAAAAATGTGATGAGTTGAACTTTGTTCAGAGAAAAATACAATGCAAATATTTTTAATTAACAAACAAAATTAAATATTATGTAAATAATTTTTTTTTATTTTTCAACTTGAAAAATTATCGACTTTAAAATTTACATAAGAAAGCAGTACTGAAAAACATCAACCATATTCCATATTGTCACATTAAATTGTAATATTCGTTATTTGTAATAAACAGAAAAAACTTATTCAAATGAAACATATATTTTAAAATTATTTGTCATGACTATAAAAATAACTTTATAACCAATTCAGTTATACATTTATATGTAAAAAATATATACACACTATCTTGTTACTAAAGCACAAGAAAAAAAGTAATATTAAATTAAAATGAATTTTATGGAATTTGTTTTCCACGCCCAATACCACGTCCTAAACTTGAGGCCGCAAATCTCTTGTCTTGGTTCAGGCTAAGTCCTTTGAATAAAACAAAAGGCAGTGTATTTGGCTGTCTCATTTCAGAGTTGTCTTTTTTAGGTTTTGATTCATTTAATGATGGAAAATCATCGTTTGAAAGTACTATATCTGGTCTATTAGCACCATAACTAGGTGTATTCGAATTGGCTTGGACGTCATGAGGTATGTTATTGTTAGCCGTATCTTTCTTGATAATTGTAGTAATAACGTGAGATTTGGGTGGTTTCACCGGAACATTGACGATATTTTTAACCGGTAACGGTGGCGGAAGTGCGGGTTGGTAAGTTTCGAAATCCGTACCATCATCAATTCTCGGAGGTAAATGTTTTGAAGTGCAGTCAACATCATAAAATTGACAAACGGCATCAGAAAGCAAAAAGCAGAAACGTTTGGCACATCCAAGTGCACAATACATATTATCGAGAGTTTCGTGATAATCGCAACGTATATTACCTGCATAATCGTAGGCGTGAGAAGTTAACATGTCGGCAGCAACAACTTTACACGGAAATGCATTATCAACGTAAGCCCTGAGTTCCATTAAAAGATTAACCAAACTATAATACTGTACGTTTTGTATATTGTAATAGTTTGCTTTCTTACAAAGCCAATCAAGACAACCTTGATTCTGTTTTATATTTTCTTCCAAACAAAATACCGGCGCAATTTCTTTTCCTTCCGACTCGACAAATCTTTCGATACTTTTACAGATTTTTAAATAGTTACTCTCCGACAATTCAAACTTCAACGTGGGAATTTTATGCGTTTCGTCACTGTGTTGCATTGCAGCTCGACTGTATCCGATAGGTATGCGTCCGGCATCAATAAACGTGTGAAAATAATCTTCGATTCCCTCTTTTATTGAATATTTTGTAATTCCAACTTCTAACGGAATATATTCATTGTCGTCAGTGCAGCATAAAACATTGAAAACCATAATGAAGAAAGGAGTGTTTTTAACTTCATCTACAGAATCCATACGGAATATGTATCTTTCCACAAATTTCACTGCTTCCTCTGCCTTTTCTTGTTCTTCTCGTTCAGCACGATAAACGTCATCCAGAGGTGTACCATCAGAGCACATTTTTCCTGCTATGCAGTCTTTCGCTTCATTCTTATATTCTCGTGCCATAGTTTCATATTTTATTCTCTCACTTTCGGGTAAGTCTTTCCACAAAGGATGAGCAATTGGCGCCATCTCCTTCATTGAAATATTCTTACCTTCTGCTCTATACTCTTCCTGTAGTTCCTTCATGAAGAAGTAAAATGCATTCCTCTGCTTTTTTGGCATTTTATAAAGTGTATTTAAACTAATCTAGATACAACAAAGTACGTAGTTGAATTGGCTGTCGAGTAAACGAGAGTATTGCTTGCTTGCCGCCCTCTTGCGGTGAAGTTAGGAGTAAAGACGAACACGTCAATGATTCCCCCTGGTGGTGAAAATTCTCTAATGAAAATTAAGTATTAGCTAGTAGTATTTAATATTTATAATTAAAAGTTTTTTGAATATGAAACAAAAATGTTATAAATAATTTGGCGGGAAAATTTTTGTGACTAAATAAATGAATTTTTAAATATTAAATTAGATATGCCATTCAAATTTTAATAGTTAATGTAGACAGTAAAATTAAAATAATTTACGTTACTCTAGACCTTTAATTTTATACTGTAGTTAATAAATGTTGTCTGGTTGAAAACGTGAGAAATATTTAAGCATTTTGGTTCATTGTATGTGCTGTAGTCGAGAAATCACGGCAGTGATTCCTTGCCAAGTAAAAAAGTTACTATATATATACGGGAATTAGAGTTGCCCAAAAGCCGTTTCCGTATTTCCGTTTCCCAAAAGTCCAAAGTAATTCTCAATAACTAGACTGACATATAATTGTTTTCTTGGGTAGTGTGCAAAATTTCAGATTTTTCTGTAAAGGAGTTGCTGAAATATAAGCAATCAAAAAGTGCAAAAATCGCAAAAAAAAAGAAAAAAAAATGCACTGCAGAAGCTCCTAGAGAAGAAACTACTGCGTTTAGAAAGCTCAAAATTTAATCTTAACTCCTTCTCGTTAGTGATGGTTGTTGTTGTAATATAATCAGCCGATAGTAACATTGAATGGGGCAAAAGTTATTCGATATTCTATCAAATATTTGACAAATTTTTAAAACAAAATTGTATTTGAAGCTTTGGAGAAAACCCTCTCGCTAGATACTGGTGTTTCAATCACGCATGTCTTTCGCCTTGAATTTATATAGTTGCGGACCCACATGAAAAACGAATTCATTTTTCTCTTAAAAACTAATGGATTTTGTTTTCTTTCTACTATCGATGCGTGCAAATACTGCAAAAGAGAGGACTTGGGTCTAATTATTCCGTCATTATTAGAATGCCCCTCATTCGATATACTTTACTGTACGAAAACAATTCGATAGTATCGACATTACAATGCAATTGCCCATTAGGTTGCGAGCAAACACATATAGAAAATGGCAGAAATACAAATCGAAAGCAAAGGACGTCGTATTTTTGCGAATTTCGAAAAGGAGATACTACTATACTTAAAGAGTTTGTTGGAATTATTTTAAGACATTATTTTGCGCTTGCCCCGGCACATTTTTCTGCTGGGTAAAACCTTTTCTCAAACGCTCAGCCGGCTGAGACAATACTACAAAATAAAATGACTAGTGTTATTTTTTCCAAGCAGAAAGAGACTTTCTCTCCCTGGAAAGAATTATGTAAGGAATATAATAGTACTCAAGAGGCCGGATGGCCGAGCGGTCAATATGGCAGCCTACCACCTTGGGAGACCCGGAATCGAATTCGGACGGGTCGAAAAAAACCCCAGAAAATTTCCTTTGGAGTTTCAAGTTCTGCGTTGCGCTAGCACCACACCGGCAATATAGAGTCACAGACGGGGCCAAAATTTAAATTTTCTTTCTATAATGATGAATTTATAAAAGATTGGTTTGGGACCCCTATAGACGAATCCCAGGCAATTGTTCTTGTTGCCCGTGTGATAACGCGACACTGTCAAGGTGCCAGGCTAAGGAAGAATAAACAATAGTAGGATTGTTATAAAAATTTTAAAAAAATTCTTGAAAAAAGAGACACCAAAAAAAAGCTGTTTAAAATAGGCGAAATATCTTTAATGTTGCGGATTTTCAAAGAAACGGATTGATTGGGAGAAAGATTTCATTGGAAGCCATAAAATAGCTCTTAGAAAACTGAAATAGTAACGTCCAACATAATCAAGTATTAAGGTACTTTATAAATAATGATTGTTTCCGTGATGCGAAAATATCTTATCATTCCCATTTGAAGTTATCGTGAATTTATTGTAGGCCATAACGAAAATAAAGCATGAAGCTTACAATCGTTTAGAATTAACGAATTACAAGTCCCTATTATTACTTCGCAATAATAAGAGATGGAACTGACTCATTCCCTCACTTGAAAGAATAAGGTGTATTGTTTCTAATGCAAGGTTCTTTCATACCAAATCTTAATATCGTCACATTAATTCAAATTTACATAAAAATCGACGAAAAAAAGCTAATTAATAAAAACGACTTTTATTAAATAATGAATTTCACTAAATTTATAGGATTATTTTTAAAACCCGATAACACTGATGTCGATTAATCGGATCGTAACGAACTAGACGACAATAGATGCAAACCGAAGCGACGCGTATAGATTTGTTCTGAAATTATTATTAAATACAGTATATAAAAATATTGATATAATATAATTAATTTATTTGAAATTTTAATAAATAAAAATCAATTATAAATCTAAAAGGCGATTACATACGGAAATATTATTTTTTAATCAATTACATGTGTAATAAATGAGAACACGTTTTTTTATGTATTTTAAGTAACACTATTAAATTTCAAATTGTGACATTAAAGCATTCTTCGCCCATAGAAAAAAAATAAACAATCCTATAAAATATTTTAAGTTTAATTATTAATTTACATGTCTTTGATGTCTTATATTTAATTTTTGAATAGAAAACTTAAACTAGAATTTGGAAAAATGGTAAGTAAATTTACAGTATGAAAGTCATTTTGAAAAGAAAATTTATTAATATTATATTATTAATTCATTGAATATATAAGAAAAATGTCCTAATAATAGATACTTTTCATAATAAACTGTTTTATATTCAACACATCAATATAATATCATTAATAGAATGGAACAAAGAATGTATATTGAAAACAATAAGTCAGTATAATAAAATACATCTACATTTATGTATTGATACACAGTACATTATCATTACATATTGATAAACAAAAAATTATCTTAAAATTGTTTAATAATAGATCATTCAACTTAATGATTGATTAATCATCTGTTAACTTTAAATCTTGTAATTAAAATACATTACAATTGTTCTAATTGCAAATTATATGCATGCGTAACAAATTTCGTATTGTTTATTTAAATAATGTGATGTAAATATTAAAATCAATATAAATGTTAAATTTTATTAATTCCTTTATTTTTATTACCGTTGCCTTTGATTTTACGTTAACAGATTAAAAAGATATAAATTATTTACGTTAAATAAGCAATTAGGGTATTAGTAGTAGTGATGAGTGATTCACTCTTTTAAATCTATTCGAGTTGTTATAAATTGTTTCGGTAAAGAAGATTTTGAGTAACTTTTAAAAATTTATATTGACTTGCAGAATATGATTTTAAACTTTTTGATATCAGAATTGTATAAACTGATTGATTTTTGCTTTTATGTAAGCTTCGTGCAAGAATAGATTACGTTCGGTACAGTACATACTAGGTGATAATTAAATTTGATGACTGTTGTATTATTTACATTATCAAATCTTTTGATATGAAAATATTTTTACTTTCATTGTCGTGCCACATTATCTTTTAATATTAATGTTTTCATATATTTTTATTTTATGAATGTTGAATGTGATGACTTGATTTAATTGCTATTCTTTTATTTTAATTGTTTTATGATAACATATTGTTCTGTTATATTGCTTTTACAACAAGACTGATAAAGAAAATCAATTGCTAAACTTAAAAAAAATTGATTATAAACAAATCTGTCACTTTAAATTAGAGCTTAAAATAGAAACTTTAATAATATAAAATTTTGAATAATTTTATATACAGTATTTCATGTTTTACAGTTTATATAAAATCATAACACTATTATATAATAAAATTTTATATTTATTTATTAATAATTGTTTTTATTGAAATAATAAAAAGAGATTTCTAATTTGATAAGTTTTAATGAAAATTTCTATTGTAATCAATTGCATAATTGACCAGAAGTGAGGTATCTAGATTTAACTTTAACAACTTAAAATATTTAAGTAAAATCATAAGTGAAAATGCTAATCATTATCATTCATTCATTCTCTGATTGTGTTACAAATTGATAATATTCATGGTGGTTAACATTGAGAAATATAATTCCATATATGTTGAAATCTTCCTAAAAATCAATCCTAAAATATATTGATATAAATCTTCTTAATAGCTATATGTTATTTGCTATAAATTTTAAGGATTTATCACATCACAGTTTTTAATTGGAAAGCTCACTGAGATTTCTAATTGAAAACTGTGGTGTGATAAGCCTCTGTTTTAAATCTTGGTGCCGCTACAAGACTTTTAAAACAGGGGCTTAAAGAACATAAGTATTCTATTACTAAAAACATGGACAGCACCATCCTTGCAGCCTTCGCTAAACATCAAGATATTAATGTACATTGGGACAAAGCATCCATAATTAGGACAGCCACCAACAAACAAGTACTTAAACATATTGAAAAACTTGAAATTTACAAGGCCCATATTAACAAAGGATGCATCAACCATAGAGATGCAGAAAGTCTATCTTTCGCATGGAAATTTTTTTACCATGACGATTAATTTTCTTAATACTTTATTTAATTTAATTATTTACCACGATTAATTTTCTTAATATTTTATCGTAATTTAATTTTGTTTTTACGTTTTATTTTATTTTTATTTTGTTGTAATTAATTTTCAATTTTTAAACCGTTGTATTGCTTGCATTCTATTTTACATTCGTTTTTGTTTTAAAGTGGCTTAACTGAAGAAGACTATTAAATATAGTCGAAAACATTTTTATCTTATTAAATACTTTGTTGCTGGAAATACTAAGGTGTTTGATTATTTTAAATATATTAAACTCCTATCATTATTTGCCAGAAAGCTAAACATCACAGGCTAGTTGAAAAGGAAGAATTTATAAGATTGAAAAGTTTTAATTGTACATTGTAGTAATCTTAAAAAAAGTATTTTTTTCCTCTCTCTATTTATTGTTAATGGACATATCTCTAGTTCTAATTGAATTAATTTATGTGTCTAATCTAATACATTTGTACTAGAAAATGTATAACTAATA